CTATGAATCAAGCTGGCAGAGCAGAGCAGCGCCCTTGGCAATCCAGTAGTCCTGTGGCTGTGTGGAGGGAAGATGCACGGCCACAACAAAGTTGGTGGAGTGGCCCGTCGTTGACAACACGCCGGCACGCACAGATGTTTTGTACAGGGGCGCAATGTAGTCCTTGGGCGGCGGAGTAAAGTTGGCAGTGGGCAGCATGTGCATCACGGGTAACGGCGCCTGCATCTGCCCAGGCAGCGAATCGCTCACAACCGCAGCGTCATCGTCCCAACGGAACGCTGTTCCGTTCAAGCACATGCGGACGCGCAACATAAGCAAATGCAACAAGTAAGCAGGACGAACGTGAGAAGGCACCAGGCGTTAAGACAGTCACGCAGTCACAAGCACGAGCAAGCACAAACGAGAGAAAAAGTCGCAACCAGACGCAGGTGGAAACGCATCAATACAGAGAACACGCAGATTCCCATACACATCAAACAACGAGATCCAATACGCAGCAGCGACAAGCACAGCACAATACAACAACAGCAACAGCAACAGCAACAGCAACAGCAACAACATCACGCAGCGAACGGAGAAACACACACACACACACACACACAAACACGGACATACAAACACGCACACACACGCACACGCACATACAAACACACACACACTCACGCACACGCACACGCACACGCACACGCACACACACACACAGGCAACGAGTACGCGCGCGCACATGGGTTACGCACCATCCATAAAAATGCCGTGAACAAGCACGCCGTCGTCAAAATGGGGCAGCTCTGGCGTGTGGTCCTTGGCTCCTTCCTCAATGTACACGTGAGGTAATACCTCAAACTGGAAACTCAACGTGTCAATCGGCAAGTTGTACTTGCGCGCGTGCGTCTGCAACGTGCCGGTCAGGAAACCCTGCAATACGACCACAACACGAGAGCACGAATCAATATGTATTGGGGAGTCGTGTGAGTTGCTGTACATTCTGCGCATCGAGGTCACACGGCAGGTCCATGCGAGAACAAACCCCACAACAATGCCACGAAACACACCAGCACATCCAAACTGTACACATACAAACACACACAAACACAAGCTCGCGCGCACACATACAACACAAACACACACGCATACACGCATACAACACAAACACACACACATACACACATACAACACAAACACAAATACACACACATACAACACAAACACAAACACATACACACAAACACAAACACAAACACAAGCTCGCACGCACACACACACACGCATACAAACACACCTGTGGAAAGAAGAAGCCGGAGAGCCAGAAGGACTTGGGCTTGCCGTGCTTGAGCCAGTGCTCAACAAACTCCAGGCGCAGCACCAAATCCTTCACCCAAGACGCGAGCGGCTTCAAGGATGGATATGCCGCCGTCGCCCACATCTCGGGCACCTGGTTGTTGAGGAAGCTCGTGTACACGCGCTCCAGCTCCGCGCTCATCACCACCAGACCCTTGATCGCCTTCTTGATGTTGCTGAGCGAGTCCCACAGCACCACAAGCAGCTTGTTGAACCGGTCCACCTCCTGCCGCAGCACCGTGCTCAGCGACTGCACGCGCCCTTGCTCGTCAAGGTCAAACGTGCCCGGCTTCGCCTCGTCAATGTCCAGCAGCGCCTTGGGCAGCTTCTCCTCAATCGAGCCCGCCAGCTCAAACACAATCTCATCGGGCGTCTTGCCGCTCGCCCCTCCGCTCATGCGCGGCTGCACATCGAGGATCGTGCGCACAAGCATGTTCGTTTCCTCCAGCTGGAACGCAATGTTTGCGTTGTCGTGCATGCCAAACACCTCCGGGTCGTCCGAGAAGGGAAGGCTGTCCACGTACTCCTGCATCTGCTCAATCGTCTCCACCGCAGGCGCGTAGTACGTGCCAGAGGGCGAGTACTTGTAGTCCGCGTCCAGGGCCTCCTTCACCAGGTACCTGCGGAGAATCGTCGACAGGCACCGCTCGTCCCACCGGTCCGTCACGCGCCCACCGTACGTGATCTCGCTCGTGATGAAGAACAGCGCGCTCCACGGCACGTGCCCGTCCTCCAGGAAGATGCGCAGGTTCTCCAGCGCGCACTCGCGGTCCGACGAGCTAAACTCGTAGGGGATGTTCCATCCGAGCGCACGGAACTTCTTGCGCTCCTGGATCACGGCGTGGAAGAAGCACAGCCCGAAGATGAGCTTGCGCCACGTCGTGCCCAGCTTGTGCTTCTCGAAGAAGCTGGGCTCGATGGACGCAAACGCGCCCCGCAGGTTGGCCTTGAGGCCCTTGGGCGGCTCGTTGGTCACCTTCACGCTGTTCTGCAGCACGCTCACGGGGAAGAACGAGCACGGCGCGGAGCTGAGGAACAGGCGGAAATCGTCGTGCACCGCAGCCTTGGGGTCCGCCAGCCCCTTGATCACCTGCTCCATCCGCGTCATCCACGACTTGGCCAAGTGGCAGTTCTGCAGGAACACCCAGTCGCCGTTGCGCGTCGCCTTCTCAATCAGCTTCTCCGCCACGGGGCCCTGGCCCTGCCCGAGAGAGATGGAGTGCACGCGATCGCTGTACGACTTCTCCTGCGCAAAGCGGAGGAACCCGGACATGGGATCCGAGCCCACCGACAGCACGAAAATGAGCGGCACCGTGGACAGCATGTCGTTGTACAGCGCCTGCATGCTCACGGGCGGCGACTCCACAAACCGCCGCCCAAGCGACAGGCTCACAAACGCCGCCACGCCCTCCACGGCGCGGTGCGGCACCAGCGCGCGAATCACCATGAGCTTCTGGAACGGCGTCAGCGCCTCCGCCCACGCCTTGGACGGCTCCCCGCCCTGCTTCAACGTGTCCCCGGCGTGCAGATTGAGCGTCACGGTGACGCTGCCCAGCTCAATCGGCATGGGGACCGTGACCAGGTCCTGGCCCAGGCCCGCAAACACGTCCGGGAACGCCGTTTCGAGGTCGCAGCACTCGTGCCACACGTGCTCCTGCAGCCACGCCGCCGCGTGCTCGGGAATCGGCGGGTACTCCCGCTCCGCAGCGCCAGACCCGCGCAGGAAGTGGTTCCACTCGGGCGTGGTCACGGTGCCGTCCACGCGCAGAATCTCAATGCACATCATGAAGCTGAACATAAGCTTGTGGCGCTCAAACAGGCCGCGCGACACGTTGGCAAACACGTTCTCCGTCGAGTAGGAGATGATGTTCCGCAGGCGCGTGTCCAGGTCCGATGCCTTCTCGCTCGCCTCAATGCACTGCACGAACAGCTGCTTGAAGTACTCCAGCGAGTACTGGTACATGGGGTCGATGTTGCTCATGTCCGCAATGACAAAGAACAGGACGGAGCCGCGCACGGCCGCCGGGCGGTACTTGTCGCGCGCCTCCGTGATGGACGCCTCCGTGGTCTCTGCGCGCTTCAGGCGCTCGCCAATGGCCGTGGACGTCGTCTTGGAGTCGTTGAGCGTGTTGATGAGCCGCTCGTCATCAAGGATGTTGCCCTCCGAGTTGAACAACAGCTTCAGGATCTCGTCCTCGATGCTCTTCAGCTGTGCGCGGTCCTCGTTGATCTGCAGAATCAGCTTTGTCCGCTCCTCCTCCAGGTCGGGTCGCTCGAGGCGCACCACGTCCGCAAGCAGCTGGTCCTCCAAGCCCGTCTTGGTCACCGTGAAGTTGATGATGGTCACCTTGATGCAAATCTCGGGCAGGTAGTGCGGGTTGGCCATCTTCGTCGTCATGTAGAAGCGGAAGTTCTTGTCGTAGTCAATGTCGCTGTCACCGAGGCGGATCAGCGTGCGCCCGCCCTGCTTGAACGTCTGCTTCAGCAGGATGGGCTCCAGCGAGGGGTCCAGCGTCTCCTCAACCTCCTCCAGCAGCACGGGCTGCCCAATGCGGATGGCGTTCTCCAGCGTGCGCAGGAAGTTGGGGTCTGTCAGCTTGATCACGTGCAGGCCGTTTCGCGCCTCCATCTGCCGAATCCACTTGTTCGCCTGGTCCTGCGGGTCGATCATCAGCGGCCAGCGCCGCCCACACGTCACCAGCACCGCGTTCTCCGTGGACAGCTGGTCGCGCGGCAGGCCGCTGGCGTTCCACTGCCGAATCTGGAACGGGCTCGACAGCACGTCCGCCACGCCCATGCCCTCCGTCACGGGGATCTCCAGCTCCTTGCACTTGGCCACCCAGCCCGAGACCAGGTCGGCGCGGTAGGAGCTGGTGAAGGCGCCAAAGTACGCCACGCACGCGGCCGCCAGGAACACGTTGCCCACGACGTCGTGCACTTGCTGGTCATACTCCTTGACCGTTTCCGCCCAGCGCACCTGCTCGTCTGCCAGCGCCGTCTGCAGCTTTCCTGCACGCGACAAACGCGCCGCCGTCCTCTCCATGTTGCGCTCCAGCTCCTCCTTGGCCGCAACGCTCTGCTTGTACTGCTTCTGCAGCGCCTTGATCTTGCCCTCAACCTCCGCCAGCCGGTCCTGCTTGGTCTTCAGCTCGGCCATGGTCTTGTTCAGCGCCGCTTGCGCCGCCTTGAGCTTCTCGCGCTTGGGCTCCACCGTGCGGAACACGTGCGCGTACTTGTCCATGGCCCGCACCCACATGCAGATGGACCGGCATGCCTTGGACACCTTCTCCACCTTCTCCGGCACAAAGTCTGGGTTGTCGATGTAGGGCTTGATCTTCTTCAGCGTGCGGTCAGGGATGTTGTCCTTGTCGTACTGCATCATCTGCTTCAGAAAGTCCGCCTCGCCCAGCAGCGACTTGGCCGTCTTCCAGTCCGTCTTGCGCCCAAACAGCAGGCACACGGCCTCCATCACCGTCTGCACCAGCGCTGGCGGCGACGCAAAGGCCTTGAGCTCCTGCACGTCCTCCTTTCGCAGCGACTTGAGCGCGTCCGTGGCCGCCTGCAGCGCCGGCAGGGCCTCGTCCAGATCGCGCTGCGCGTCCATCTTGATGGCCTCCGTCTCGTTGGCCTCCTTCTGCGCCACAGCCTCCTCGGCCTTGACCACCTTGCGCACCTCGTCGGCCTTGGCCTTGTCCACCTTGATGCGCTCCATGAGCTGCATCGTGTCCTCGCTCTGCTGCTTCAGCACTGGCTCCAGTGCCGTGAGCTCCTCCTCCATGGTGGCCACCAGGTCGTTTGTCTCCTCGAGCTTGTTCAAACCCGTCTGGAAGCGGTCCCGCTGCAGCATGATGTCACGCTTCTTCTCGTCAAGCATGCCCGTGTACAGGTTGATGAGCTCCAGGTAGCTCGTCGGCGTCGTGTAGTACTTGCGCCGCAGCTCCTCGTAGAAGCGGTCGGCCGTCTCGCTGACGCTCGTGTGGATCTCCACGCACATCTGCGCAATCTTGCCCTTGAGGCTCTCGTCGCCCAGGTCCACAAACTCGAAGAAGCGCTGCGCAACGCCGAGCAGGGCCTCGCGCGGCCACTCTGTGAACCAGTCGATGGTGCAGCAGTTGACAATCGAGGGGAACATGCGGCAGCGGGAGCGGAATGCGTCGCCCACGGGGCTCATGCACAGCACAATGTGCAGGTTGTCGCGCACGCGGTTGATGAAGTACTGAAACACGGCGTCACGCGACTCGGAGATGCCGGCCTGTCGCGCAAGCGGGCGCACGGGCTGCAGGAACTGCTCAATCTCGTCGTTCTCAATTAAATTGGGCACCTCGCCCGAGTTGAGCATGTTGTTGATGTCCTCGAGAAACTCCTCAACCACAATCTGCGTGTCTGTGAAGAGGAAGACGGTCTGCTCGCCCTTGGAGCCGGCGAGTTCGTACAGCTTCTTCAGGTCCTCGCGGAACTCTGAGTAACCGTAGCCGCGCGTGATCTCAATTTGGAAGCACTTGAAGCCCGCCATGTGGCACGCCATGCGGGTGAGCGACTGCTTGCCGGTGCCGCCAACGCCAACAAGCAGGGCGTTGCCGCGTGGCTGGCGAATCATGCGCGCAATGCGAGCAACGTGCGCAATGGCGTCCTGGAAGAACACCAGCTTCATCTCCTTCTGCGAGCTCAGGTTGTAGTCGTCCAAGTAATCCTCCAACACCTTGGGGAGCTGTCAACAAGGATTCAACATGTGTTTTGTGTGTGCGTGTGTGCGTGTGTGTTTGTGTTTGTGTGTTTGTGTGTTTGTGTGTTTGTGTGTGTGCGCGTTGTGGCGTGTGTGTGTGTGTGTGTGTGCGCGCGCGCGCGTTGTGGCGTGTATGAGAACATGACACATGAACAAACGGTGAAGCGAAGCCGCATCTGAGAACATGCCGTGTTGTGTTGTGCACGCAGACACTGGGGGGAATAAAACAAGGCTGCGAGCAAATGCGCACCTTTGCTTGGTCGAGCGGTTCGTAAAGACGATCCTCGGCCGGCGCACCCATCTTCATAAAGTCTCCAAAGAGAACAGGCTTGGTGGCAAGCTGCTCCGCCTCCACATTCTGCATGCGTGGGCACAATTGGGTTGTACGAGTGGGTCAGTGCGTGAGGTTGACAACGGCAGGGGGAGCGGGGGTTGAGCATGCAAGCGTGACAAAGATCCGGGGCACAAGCCTGCACAGTAGGGTCTACGCGTGAGTGCACATTGATTCACCTTGTTGAAGTGCTTGTACGCCATCTCGGCCAGGATTTCGTTGAAAAAGCCCTTGTCCTCGGCGTTGATGAGACGGTCGTGGAACACGCGCGAGCACTCGTGGCAGAAGAGATCAAACACGTGGTCTGGCGTGCGAACCACCGAGGAATCCACCTAGAAGATAAAAAAACATCATGAAATGCAATTGCGATGGGATGGAACAACAATCCATGAGCAACTGTTAGCCGCCGTCTCACCAGACACACAACATGATATCGACACAAACACGGTATCAACTACCAACACATCCTATTCAACTACCAACACCCATGCAGTCACAAGTGAGCTCCCGCCCCGCCCCCAACACACACACACACACACGCACGCACACACGCACGCACACACGCACACACGCACGCACGCACACACGCACGCACACACGCACGCACACACGCACACGCACACACACACACCTGAAGGATGCCCTGGATGCACTTGGAGAGATCACGAAGGTTGAAGACGTAATGCGACTTGGCTGGTGTGGGCAACAAATCCGTACTCATGCGCTCGTAGATGCCGACAGCGGCGTTGACCACAGCCGACGCGGTGCCAATCACTTCCTTCTGGAAGTCGCACACGGTGAAGAACCCGCGCGTGATCTGCTCGAAGATGCCCTTGAGCGTGTCCTCGTCTGGGGAGGGCAAGCACATCATGGCAAAGTGGCGCAGCAGGCGCGGCGTGGTCGGGTTGCGGCCACCACCGGGCGGTGCGCACGCGGCAATCAGCGTCAGGTCCACAATGCCGGTCCACGTGAGCTTGGCGCGGTCGTAGAAGCCGTCGTAGTCCTGCAGCTGTCGCAGCAGCTCGATTGGCGGCTGCGCACCGTACGTCTCCAGCTTGGGCATGTTCAAGTCGTCCACAAACAGCAGCATGTGCTTGCCCATGGGCGGCCCAAGCCTGTTCTTGGGCTTCTTCTCCAGCTTGCTCTCGATAATCTCCTGCGTGCGCTGCGAGCTGGTCTGCGCAGAGAAGTTCATGGTCAGCGGCAGCACGGAGCCTGCAGCCTCGGCCGTGTCCAGGTACTCCTTCGCAATCACGCTCTTGCCAACGCCAGTGGTGCCCGTGAAGAGCACAGAGTGGCGCATGCGTGAGAAGCGCTCCAGCAGGTGCTTGAACTTGACTGTGGACGACGTGGGCACGAGCATGTCGAAGAACGGCACGCCCTCCTTGTAGGCGAATTTGGGCACAATGTCCGCCCAGCGCAGCAGCGCGGGGGTGTTGGCCTCCAAGGCAACGTAGTAGTCGAAGACGGTGCCCTGGCCCGGGATGCGGATGTCGTGGCGGTCGCTAAACGAGTCGCGAACAAGCGCGTCAAAGCCCAGGTGGTCCTGGTCAACCAGGTTCCCGCCGACGGACCAGATGAAGGCAAACAGAAAGTAGTTGGAGAGGATGGCGTTGAGGTGCTCGTCTTGCTCCTGGGCAGACCAGTCGACGCGTGGGGCGCCTTGGGCGTCCTTCTCGCGCAGCAGATCCTCCAGCAGCACACACAGCGCGCTTGCCTTGGCCATGTCCACCTGGGCAATGCCCTCGCGCAAGGTCTTGTGGACCTGGTGCAAGACAGAGTCCACGTGCTCGGCAAAGAGGTCGTTCAGGTGCTCCTTCTGCGGCTCCTGCAGGATGTCGAGGTTGTGCATCCAGCGGTTGACGTAGGGCCGCCAGCCAAGCTCCTGCGGGTCAACGTACACCATGCCGCAGCGGGACACGGTGGCTGGGGAGGCCACGGCAAGGTCCGCAACCTCAAACAGCATGTGCATGCTGGACGAGAGCTTGATGCGCTCCGAGTTTGCCAAGCACAGCATCTTGTTGTCGTCGAGCACGGTGTTCATGTTCTCGATCCACAGCGCATCGACGGGGCCGTCGCAGACGATCCATTTGTGGTCGTCGTTGGTCTGCGCCACGCACTGGCGCACGAGGGTGGCCATGAGGCCATCGCGCCACTCGCCGGTGGTGCCGTCAACCTGGCCGTACAGCTCGCCCATGCTCACCGCCTTTGGGTTGAGGATGTACTGGTGCACGGGTCGGTACTCAAAGTGCTCCACCCCCTTGTCGTGCAGGCGCGTGAGCGTGTCTGCCAAGACGGCAAGGACGGTGGACTTGCCGCCGCCGGTTGGGCCAACAAGCATGACGCCGTGGCGCACCACCATCGTCTCGTACAGCTGAATCACCTTGGTCACCTGCGGGTTCTCCACCTCCAGCTCGCGCTCCTCAATGCACTCCACAATTGTCTCGCGCAGGGAGCCGTAGTCGTGCTCGGGCAGCTCCACCCCGGGGAAGAGGTCTGACAGGATGGCCGTGAACAGCGCAACGTCCTCCGCAAGGAACTTGGGCAGGTTGCTGTCGCGCAGGGCGGTGAGCAGCACGGTGGCCTCGCTCTGGCCAACACGCGAGCGCTTGAGCGAGCCCGCCATTACCAGCACAGACTTGACGGCACGCATGCCGAAATCATAGTGGTCCTGCTGAGAAAGCTGCTCGCTGCACAGCTTGTACATCTGCGTCATCTTGCGAGCCAGGTTGCGCGGGCTCTCAAAGCCCTCGGAGAAGAGAATCACCTCCGCAATCAGCGCGTAGTCTGGCACCATCATGGCAAAGGGGCGGAAGAGCGCTTTGAGGTTGTCTGGCAGCTCCGTGCGGCCGGCATAGCCGGGGTTCATGGTGATGAAGGCGGCGCACTTGGGGATGAGGCGAATCTCGCGGCCCTCAAACATGAAACGCTTGGCGCCGCGCGTCTTGGCGTTCTTGATGGTGAGAATCTGCTGCGCAATCACAGAGAGCACCTCAATGTCGATGCGGTTGAACTCGTCAAAGCAGCACCACGCGCCGCTCTGCGCCAGACCCGAGAAGAACTTGCCCATCATGCGGTAGTCCAGGCCTTCGCTGCAATTGAACACAATGCACGGGTTACCAAGCGCCTGCCACCGTGAAGGAGAGAGCACGGGTTGAACGAGACAAGCCGTAAGTCGAGATGAGTACGTGAGTGGATGCATGACTGAAGTAAGTGATCGATGCATGGATGCATGCACGGATGAAAAGTACGAGTCGTGGATGCATGCATGGATGAAAAGTACGAGTCGTGGATAGATGCATGCATGCATGCATGCGTGCGTGCGTGTACACACTGGTAGTGCGGTATTGTTGTGCAGGTGTGTTTGTGTAGTTGAATGTACCTTTGCCATGTCCTTTGTTGTCTCCGTTTTTCCAGTTCCGGCCGGACCGGCAGGGGCACCGCCGAGGTCGAGTTGCAGCGCACCCATGAGGCAGAGGTAGCAGCGATCTGTCAGCGGCGTGATGACGAGACGCATGCTCGCTCCGAGATACTCGTACGCATACACGAAGCGCGAGTTGGACATGCGCGCAACCATGTCGTCAATGTCGTCCTCCCAGTAATAGCGCAGCTGGCGCACCCACTCAAAGTCCTGCATTGAGAAGAGGGGATGCGGTGCGGCGGCGGCGGTGGTGGTGTGGGCATGGGTGGGTGTGGGTGTGGGTGTGGGTGGGATTAATCAACAACAAACCAGACACCAGTCCACAAAGTCCACCGCTCCACGGACACAAACACACACATACACGTATACACACACAAATTCGCACACACACACACACAACACACACACACACATACACACAAGTTCGCACACACACACACATACACACACACACAAACAAAATTCACACACCACCACCTGTATCCAGAAACTGACCTCGAGGTCGGAGACCTTGGAGTGGACCAGGGAAGTCACGTTGTCGCGGGCGTGCACGTCAATGGTGATGAGGGCACCAAGCACCTTTCGGAACAGCTTGGACAGCTTCTGGCGCGACATGGCGGCCAGGTCAGCGAGCTGGCTGATGCACTGCTTCTCGTACGCCTCGAGCGCCTGCTGCGGATTCTCGTTCGTGATGGCGCGCGTGACGTCGCGGCACCACATCATCTGCGACACGCTGATGATGACCTGGGACGGGTGGCGGCCAACCCACTCCGTGCGCGGGCACGCCGTGTAGTCGGTGATGGCGGCCTTGGTCAGCGCATACAGCGACTTGACCATGGCGTCCTCCACGGAGCACAGCCACACCTCCACGTTGCCGCGGGCCTTGAGCCCTTTGCCCAGCGCCACGCGCTCGCCCTCTGGCGAGATCATGGCGTAGATGTCGTTGGCAGTCTTGCCGTCCTCGCCAAACTCAAGCTTCTGGATGGCGTCAAAGCACTTGCGCAGGTGCGGCTGCACGGCCTGCGGGTTGCGCGTCTGTGCGAGGATCTCAAGCAGCTCGTCGTTGGAGAGGAAGAAGAAGCGCGAGAACACCATCCGCTTGCTCTCGAGGTAGTCCTCCAGGCACTTCTGAATCTGCTCCAAAAGCGCGTTGTTCTTCTTGAAGCGCTCCAGGAAGCCTGGCGTCGTGCCGGCGCGGATTGCGTTTGGAAACGCCGTTGTCTTGCGCATGGCGTCCTTGAAGGACTTGTCAACCTCCAGGAACATCTTGGCCTCGGACGGCAGCTGCCGCTGGATGTCTGGCGCAGAGAAGATGCTCTCCAGGTAGATCCAACTGCGCTGGCACTCAAGCCACTCGTCAACCGTCTCCGAGAAGAGGTTGAGTTGCCGCTGCCAGTCCTCCACGCGCTGGCGAATGGGCTCCACGTGCCGCGACCCGGCGATGGTGGCAATGTTCACCTGCGAGTCGTCCAGCAGCATCTGGATGTCGTCCATGCCACCCAGGATGGTCACGTCCTTGCTGTCACGGAAGGGGATCACGGGAAGCTCCGCTTCCTTCCACGCGTCCTCAACCTGCACGCATTGGACATGGCGCACACCAAAGCGTGCGTGTCATGTTAGTTGGTTCAAACCGCGCACATGGGAACAGATAGGGGAGACAGCGTTGAACGGAGGCGGCGCGCAATCACACACACACACATGCACATGCACAAGCACAAATGTTTGAACAGGAATGTACACATGCACGCACGCAAACAGAAAACGCACAATGTCGCAGACATATGCAGACACACAAAACCACATGCACACACAAACACGCACACACATGCGCACACGCACAAACAAGCGCACCTTCTTGAGCATGACTTCGAGTGAAGCCTCGGAGGAGGCGCCGGAGCTGACTTCTTGAATCTCTTCGCCATGCTTGAACACATCCAGCTCGCTCAGCATGCCCAGGTTCAGCGTGTCGTCCAAGGGAAGCGTTTGTCCAATGATGCCAAAGATTTTCTCCCAGTGGCGCGGGCGCAGCGCCGGGTTGCGCAGGTCCATAATCACCGGCATCTTTGCCTTCATCTTCTCAATGTTGAGCTGGAGCTGTGGGGAGACCTCGTTCTGCGGCAGCTGCTTCGTCAGCGAATACGCCGCCTTGGCCATCCGTGTGACCTGGGGCAGGGCAATGCAAGTGGGTGTTGGGGATTGGGTGGTGGGTGTGTGGTGCATGTGGGTTTGCGTGTGAGGAACAAATATGCGCACAACACCATGGCCAACTGCCACCACTTGCATGTACAAGCCCACGCCCTTGCATGCGGCCAAGCATGCTGTCTCTCCCCGCGTATGTGACCTCGCTCTCAAACAAACACGCACTAATACACGCACGCACAAACGTACAAACACGCACTAATACACGCACCCCAAACCACTAAAAACACGTACGTACACCAAACGCACACACGCACACACGCACACACGCACACACGCACACACGCACACACGCACAAGCACACACCGTGTTGCTCATTTCTTCAGCATCCATCTTGAGGAATTGCTGCTGCGCCCAGTCCTGCTCGAGGCTGTTCCACTCGTCGATGGTGTCCCAAAGCGCCTTCTTCGCCTTGACCTCTGCGTGCGTCTCCTCAAGCGCAGAGAAGCGCGTGACCTCAATCTTGAACTTCTTCTGGTACGAGCGGTACTCGGCCGCCCGCTGCTGCAGCGTCTCCATCTTCTGGTTCAGCTCGCGTGTAAAGGCAAGCACCTTCTCCAGCTCGGCCTGCGGGTCAAACACAAGCTCGTTGGACGCCTCCTCGCGCACCTCAAGCACGTTGGCGCTGAGCTTCGAGATGTCCTCGTCAAGCACGTCACAGAAGGAGTTGATGCGCTTGTTCTGCTCGTCCACGGCCGCCTTGACCGTGTCGCGCAGGCGGATGATGTTGTTCTTGGCTGTCTCAAACTCCGCCACGTCCTCTGGCGGTGCCTCGATGCCGAAGCGATCAATGAGCGCATACAGGTCTGTCACCAGCTTGGCGTCCTTCTCAATCGTCTCCATGGTTGCGTCAATCTCATCGACAAACGTGAGCGCGCGCACGTACTCCTCCGTGGTGGTTGGCTGCATCTCCAGCTGGTGCATGGCGCCGTGCATCTGCTCGGCCACCTCCTTGTTCTTGCGGCAGGCGAGCTTGGGCAGGGCGCGGTGGAGCGCCTCCAGGCACGCGCGCGGCACCGGCAGAAACGTCTCCTTGAGCTGACGGCAGTCCACCACCATCATGCCGAGGTTGTTGGCGGGCACAATCCCGCTGCCCGTGGTGATCATCTTGGAAAACTCCTCAAGCGACTGGGTGTAGAACTCGAGCGAGTGCTCCGTCTCCTCCAGCCACTCCAGGTCAATGCCGTGGCTGCGCGCGTACATGTCGCGAATCACGGACATGTGCCCCTTGAACTTGTTGGCCACGCGATACGCAAAGTCCAGCAGGTCCATGACGCCCTCGGAGTGCTCTGCCAAGCGCTCGTCCTCCTCCAGAATCTCGGCAAGGTGGCCCGGCTCCTCGCCAACAAAGTCCTCCTGGCGGTGCCCGAGCGTGGGCCGCGTGACAAAGTCAAAGTGCGGGGAGGGCGCGATGGGCTCCACGGCGCACACGCGCTCCTTGAACGAGGTAATGAGTCGGCCAAGCTCGTGCTTGACGTCGCCGTTGTCCGGATCAAGATCCAGCGCATCCACATCCAGCAGCAGGTCAATCTGGTCACAGTGGTGGCGGCGATGGAGGTGTTCGGTGAGAAAACAAAGAATATGTGGGCAACTACGACGAAGAGGGATAAAGTGGTGACGATGACTGCGCAGAATTCATCGGCCACACACCGGCGCATAGACAGACCGACACATACACAACAACACCCTCAAACAAACAAACAAACAACACAACAACACACTCAAACAAACAACACAACAACACCCTCAAACAAACAAACAAACAACACAACACAACACAACACAACACAACACAACACAACACAACACAACACAACACAACACAACACAACACAACACAACACAACACAACACAACAACCAAACACAACACAACAACCAAACACAACACAAACGCAACACAACAACACACTCAAACAAACAAACAAACAAACAAACAAACAAACACAACAACCAAACACAACACAACAACACACTCGAATAAAACAGACAAACAACCACGACGAACCTTAAACAGCGGGACGGCCTCGTCTGGGTCGGCGGTGATGAGCTCGCGCTCAACAAATCGTTTCACGGGGAAGCGGTAGTCGTCCACCGTGATGGCTGACGGCCCAAACTCGGGCACAGGCTCCTCCTCCACTTCCTCCTCCAGGATGATGGAGCCTTGGTGGGCCAGGGCCGCCTTTCGCTTGGCCTCTTCCTCCTTCTTCTTCCGTGCTGCCTCCTCTTGCTGCTGCTGCTTCTTCTTCTTCTTTGCCTCCTCGTCATCACCGCTGTCGTCGCCCTCATCTGCGGGGCCCGCGGCGGCAACGCTGTCATCCCGCAGGTGCTCGAGGTAGTGTCGCAGGAACCCAACAGACTCGACAGAGAGCTGCTGCATGGCGTTGGCGACAAGCATGTCAATCAGGCGAAGGAACGCTGCGAGGCGGATGCAGTTGGCCCGCTTGCGCGCTTGCTCCGTGTACGTCATCTTGGCATTTGCGTCTGCAGCGCGTGAAGCGAAACAAATGAGTCGCATGTGTGTATGTGTGTGTGGGGGGGGGGTGGGTGAAAGGTGAACCACTTGCTGAAAACCGCTTGGCATGAAACCGTGTCCAGCAGGACGTTAAGATGCATTCGTACGCATTTACACACACACACACACTTGTGCAAACAATGAAGAAAACGAACCGCTGAACCCGAGGTCTTCCATGGTCCGCCTGCAGGCGTCAAGGGCAATGTCAATCACCTGGCGCCGCAGGTGCTGGAGCTTGGCCGTGACTGCGTCACACTTCTCGCGCTGTCGCACGAAAAACTGCTCCACGGTGTACGGTTTCCTTGGGTCGATGTCCACCAGCCGCATGTCAACGACATCGAGGCAGATGGCACGAATCTGCATGAGGGCGGGGCGCAAGATGTCGTGATGCAGGAAGAGGTGTGCGCTGAGCTCCTCCGTGTGTGCGAGCTGGCGCGCTTGGACAATGTTGTTGCGCCACGTGGTGAACGCCTTCCACATGCGGTACTTGAAGAAGATGGGCAGCTGGCGGAGGCGGGAGTGGAAGATGAACTCGCGCTCGAAGCGATCCAGGGGCGTGAAGGTGGACATCTTGCCGTCAATCTGGGTCACGCCCTCAACGCTCAAGGTGAAGAAGGAGTCGCCGGGCCGGATTTCCGCGTGCCGCACGGGCTTGAGATCGTACACGTTGCGGTCAACCTTGGATGGGTCGCGTGGCACCAGGTACAAGAAGCCAACACGCGCGCCGCCTTGTTTGACAAAGTCGATGAGCTCGCTGGTGCTCTTGTCTCTGAGTTGATCCACCACATCGTCACTGATGGCGGTCGCCGTGCTATCAGTGCTTGCCCTTGCGGCAAGTTGTTGCTGTTGCTTCTGCCTCCGCAACGTGCCAGCAGAGGCAGTTGCAGACGGCAATGACGCAGAAGCAGCCTCCGCTGCCATCCTGCCATCACTGCGCTGCTGCTGCTGCTGCTGTTGTTGTTGTGGTTGTGGTGGTGTTGGTGGCGGCAGTGGTGCGTGGTGGGAGAAGGCCACATCCATGGGCTCTGGGGCAGACGGCACTGGGGGAAGCTTGAGGCTCCGCCCAAGGCCGCGGGACGAGGTTGACTTGAGGGATGGTGGCTTGCGTGCCTTGAATGTGCCTGTGCGCTGTGTGCCGGCTGATGCCTGGTGCAATCGGGACGCAAGCTGCTTCCCAGACTCCAGGCGCTCATCCCTGCTGCCACCGCTGCATGGCCGGGCACGGCCACCAGGCAAAGACCCACTCCTGCCCTGTCGCAAGGCATCCTTTGACATGGGAAGCTGTGGCGCTTCCCTCTGCTGCTTGGACGGGTTGATGGCGTGCGACATCTTCGGGCTTGTGTGTGTGTGTGTGTGTGTGTGTGTGTTGTGTGTCTGAGTGTCCGAAAACAAAGGGGGGCAAAGAGGCCCAAGGGTGTGGCAGGTGCTTCCCTTCTTGCTTCGCTCTCGCCGGGTTGAACGGCGGCGGAAGCCTCGCTCACAAAGAAGGCAGGTGTCTGATGCTGGTGTTGGTGACCGTGTGCTGTGTGCTGTGTTGGGGGTTTGGTGTGTTGGTGAGTTTGCCTTCGTTGCCTGTCTGTTGGCAAGCTGGCAACCAGTGTAGAAAATACTTTGAAGATGTGGACAATCGGCGTCAATACTGGGTTTGCCATTTGCATCCTCACCTGCAATTGGCAAAACAGGCACAGCCAACACACACGACCACACATCACAACCATGGACTGGAACCTGCCATCAGAGAAGAAGAGCGGCATCGAGGTGCCAAAGCAGGCGCGGCCCTTTGGCATGCCGTCTGGTCCCATCGAGAAGACCTCTGAACGTGGCCCAAACAAGCAAAATGTCAAGGAGCTCAAAGCAAAGGTGGGATGTGCCGTGCTTTTTGTGCACGTGCTTTTGTGTGTGTGTGTGTGTGTGTGTCTGCTTTTTGTGTGTGCGTGCTTTTGGGTGTGTGTGCGTGTCTGCGTGTGTGTGTGTGCGCGCGTGTGTGTGTGTGTGTCTGCGTGTGTGTGTGTGTGTGTGTGTGTGTGTGTGTGTGTGTGTGTGTGTGTGTGTGTGTGTGTGTGTGTGTGTGTGTGTCTGCGTGTCTGCATGTGGGTGTACATCAACTTGCGTGTCACCAATGTCCTCACACAAACACACACGCACGCATGCACTTGCACCACCTCGTCTTCAGCTGGCATGGCAAGTGGCAACGCGCCCGATGCAGGGTTTGCTGATGAACTTCTTCATGCTGTGGATGATGGGAAGCAGCGTGAACCTGTTCACGTTCCCCATGCTCGGTTACATGGTCTACTCGCCCCTCGTTGCCCTCTCGTCCATCTCCACAGGTACGCACGATTTCCGATCGTGCACTCAGAATCGTGACCATTGGCTGCCTTTTCTTTTTGTTGTGTGTTGTTTTCTCGCTTTCTACCCTCGCACACACACACACCCACACACACACACACACACACACACACAACACACACACACACACACACACACACACACAGCCCTGAGTATCCCCTTGCACTCGAATCGCACACACACACACACGGACAGTTCTCATTCGCATGCACACGTCCAACTCCCCCCCATGTGTTATGGCTTGCAGAGTTTGAGAAGCTCAGCAAGGAAGAATCGTTTTGGCTGCAGAAGATTGTGTTTGCGTTGGGTCAACTCACCGTTATTGGGCTTGCGGTGTACAAGTGCTCGGGTCTCGGCCTGATTCCAACAACGCAGGGAGACTGGCTCGAGTTTCTGCCACACGTGGAAGTAAGTTGTGTGTGTGTGTTTGTTTGTCTGTTTGTCTGCCTGTCTGTGTATGTCTGTTTGTCTGCCTGTCTGTGTATGTCTGTGCCTGAGTGTGTCTGTGTATGTTTGTGTCTGTGTATGTCTGAGTCTGTGTATGTCTGTGTCTGTTTATGTCTGTGTTCTTTGCTTGCATGTGTGTGTGCGTGCGAGCGTGAGCTTGCGCACCTGTGTGTTTTGTCACTCCCGTATGCTTGCCACCATTTTCACACGCATTCTTGTTCTTGCACACGCCGAACTTATGCCTTTCCTCTCACGCGCTGCCTGTATCTGCCTCTTCTGTAGCCTGCAGAGTATTCATCGGGTGGCGTCTCGCTGAGCTCGTAGGCTTGCTGTGTTGCAGCTCTTCCCCATGCCATAGCTTGTTGTCGCTGTTTGATGTGATGAGTCTTTTTTCTTCCCACACTGTTGCGTGTTTAGTGCTGTTGAATGAGCGGTGGTGGGTGTATCTCAAACAATAGCAAGCAAACGAGTGACGAAACCGACCATGCTACACACACACACACACACACACACACACACACACACACACACACACACACACACACACACACACACACACACACACACACACACACACACACACACACACACACACACACACACACACACACACAACGAATGACATTCTCTTGCTGAGAGAGTGTGTATGGGGGTGTTTATGGGGTGGGGAACAACAAGATCTGGTTTGCAGCACATCGAGCCGAGCCAATCGCACACACAAGATGACGAATGCAAGAACCGACAAGACGTGGAGAGCAAAGCAGAGCACAGACAAGCAAACAAACAGAAACGAACAAGCAGGAGCCTGCACTACAATCAACAACTGTCACGAGACAAATGGTCACAGGAAATGGATGGAGTGAAGAGAGAAGAAAGAAAACCCGTCACCGCGGCAGTATTCATCAGGCATGCACTGTTCCGTAATCGGAGTTGCAGTGCTGCACATCACAAATGTGTGTGGCAATGGCACATGTGGCCACTACCAACGCACGAATACACAACAGATCAGAGCCCATCCCGCTTGAAGCAGAGACAGCAGACAAGCGGGACAGTTGAGGGAATCGCCCTCCTCCGCTGATTGTGTGTGAAAACAAGAACAGAGCAGTGTGTTGCAAAATGCAACCGCTAACCGCTCAACACGTTTCACACACGGCGAAGGAGGAAATTAGCCTCAGCAGCCAGCCTGGGCAGCATCAAGCCCAGAGCTCTTGGTCACCGTCAGAGTCGTAAACGTCTGTTATTGCGTGTGGAAAGGGAGGGACATGGTGAGAAGGAGCGAAAACAGCACAAAGGGAACAGTGGGTAAAAGCATACATGAAACCAATACGCACACACACACACACACACAATTCACACACACACACAATTCACACACACACATACACACACCAATTCACACACACACCAATTCATACACACACACACACCAATTCATACACACACACACCTCTGCGACGGTGGGGTGGATGCCGACGAGGTTGTCGACCTGCTCCTTGGTGGCCTTGAGCTGCAGGGCAATGCCAAAGCCCTGCGCAACCTCACCGGCGTTGGGTCCAAGGAAGTGGAACCCAATCACACGCTCCTTCTCAGACTTGAGGCAGACGAGCTTGGTGTAGCACGCGTTCTCCTCGCGGTGCGGCACGGTCCACTCCAGCGGGGTGAAGCTCTGGTGGTACACCTCAATGTCGTCCACGCCAAACTCGGCAATGGCCTCGTCCTCAGAGTACCCGCAGGAGCCATACTCCAGCGGCGTGAACACGGCCGTGCACACGTTCCTGTAGTCCATCAGCTTGGTGGCGCCGGCAAACAGGCGGTCCGCAAGCAGGTTGCCGGCCTGGATGGCAACAGGGGTGAGCTCGGGCTTGCCCTGCAGGATGTCGCCAATGGCATAGATGTTGGACACGGTCGTCTGGTCGCTCTCGTTGTGCACAATCTTGCCCGTCCTGTGGAGGTGAAAGAAGGTGGTGGTGGTGGCGGGAGGGAGGTGGTGCGAAAGTGGAAAGCAGAGAGGAGGGTGAGAGCAGGGCAACATGTAGACGCACGTGTGCATTCCAGTCGCTCACTCAAGCAGCACACATACACAGACTCGAACACGACAGCAAACAACTTACAACACCACCACCGACAGTAAAAGACACGGACAACAACACCACCACCGACAGTAAACGACACGGACAACAACACCAACAAGGACAGTAAACGATACGCACAACAACACCAACAAGGACAGTCAACGACACGCACAACAACACCAACAAGGACAACAACAAACGCCACTCGCAATGACACTCACTTCTCATCGAGCTTGACGCCGACAGACTGCAGGCCAATGTCCTTTGTGAGGGGCTCGCGGCCAATGGCCCACAGCACCGTGTCAAAGTCCTCCGTCTTCTCCACGCCCGTGTGCGTGAAGGACACGCGCAGCTTGCCGTTGTCAAGCTTCTCCACCTTGGAGGGGACAGCAGGGCGGATGAACTTGGTGCCGTGCCGCGCCATGTAGTCGCCAATCTTCTCCGCAGACTCAGAGTCAAAGCCGCTGGTTGATGAAAGGAAGAAGGGGGCGGGAGTTGAAACAAGGTTACAATGTTGGGTGGGGGGTGTAAGGTGCATGAACATGAGGAAGCGAAGGAATGTGCGGATGTATAAAGTTGGCGGGGAGGAGGGCAGGTACACGGGCAGGGTCGTACTCAAACGTACGGGTACGCTTGCACGAACACCCATGTTAAGGCACTCAAATGCACAAACACACACGACACAAGACACAACACGAGGAACGCAAAATGTACATACCGGAGGAGGATGGAGCGGACCATGACGGTGGTGTCGTAGCCAAAGCTGGCGAGGAAGCCCGCGCACTCCAGGGCGACGTAGGACGCGCCAACAACGAGCGTCTTGCCCGGCTCGCGCTCCATCCAGAAGAGGTCGTCGGAGGTGATGCCGTGCTCAGCGCCGGGGATGTCGGGGTAGCGTGGGCGGCCGCCCATGGCAAGCACCACGTTCTTGGTGGTGAGGGTCGACTCCTCCCCACGCTTGTTGACAAGCTTGAGGGTGTGGGCATCAACCAGCGACCCGCGCGCGTTCTTGTAGTCGACGTTGTTGTCGCGCAGAGACACGCGGTAACCCCAGTTGAGGGAGCGGATGTGGTTGTTCACCTCCGCGACCAGCGTTTCCCACTTGGGCTTCTCTGTGAGTTGGGGTCATGGGTCGTTTGGGGGGGGGAGGTGTCAAGTGTCAACGTGTGGGTGTGTTGGGGGATGGGGGTGTAAGGGTGTGCATGTGCGAGCGTGAGAGACAATGTTGCAAGTCAGGAAAGCAAAGACGGAAGTGTTAAAGGGGAAAGACCTGAACATTGGCAGCAGGTATACAACAAGTCATTGACTTGGGGCTCAAACCCATGTGTGAGCAGGGCAAGCTGAAACATGCAGCATGTGACGCACCGGGGCGCTCGACTTCCCAGCCAAACGACTTTGCGTCCTCGATGGCGTGCCCTGCAAGAAGGCAGTTAAAGTGGTGTGGTGGGCGTGAGCGCGCGTGCATGCAGACATGGCCTTTGAATATCAACAAGATGTGGTCATCGTGTTTTGAACATGACGCAAACAAAAAAAAAACCTTATAAGACGAGGGCATGTGCGCGTAGGAAGGGGCATACAACAACAACCAGTGGGTGCAAGAACGGTGCAGGTTTTGTGGCAAACTCACCAAGAAGAGCTGCTTGGTGCATGAGCTTCTTGGGGATGCAGCCAACGTTGACGCAGGTGCTGGGGCGAAACAACAGCACACGGTTCAACAAAACACACACGCACACATGGTGGGTTAGGAGTGGGCCATTGTGTGTGTGTTGTTATGTGTGTGTGTGTGTGTGTGTGTGTGTGTGTGTGCGTGTGGGTGTGTGTTGTTATGTGTGTGTGTGTGTGTGTGTGTGTGGTTTTAAGTCTGCACAAGAAAAGAGTGCTTCCACGCACGCAATCAGTGCACAAAGTACAACAAACTCACCCGCCGAGACCCCATGTGGTGCCGTGAGGAGAGGGCGTGACAAAGTCAAGCACGGCAACCTTTGCGCCATGCGAAGCCGCACGCTGCTCAGAGCAACAACAAACCAAAAACAATCGCGGGTAACGGGTTGAAGGCATGTGTGAGCGAAACAAAGAGGAAGAGGGGCGGAGAGAAAGCACGTGTGTGCAGGACGTGGATGGCACGTGTGCGGGAGGCGGATGACACAAGCACAACCAAAACAAGACGCAACCAAGAAGACCAGAGACATCTCCACCTCCACCTCCACCTCCACGTGGCTTCGCACACACCTTTGAGCATGCGAGGCCGCCACTGCCACCACCGATGACGACAAGGTCGTAGTCGAAGGTGTCTGTGGCCGGAGTGGCCACATCAGCGCCGGTGTCCATCTTGTCCTCTGCCACACGCACGTCTCCACACCAGAGCAAGCGTTTCCAAGTGGCCTTCTTCGTCTTGGTGGTTGGTTGGTTGGTTCACAATCTGTTCTCGGCCACACAACGCACACAACGCAGCAACTGCAGCCGGCGAGAATGGGTTGTTCGAGGAGGCGGGGAGAATGGCGGTTTGGCTGTTTTGCGTTCTGGTGTATTTTGCTTTATTGGGGAAAACTCGCTGAAATCTTACACTGCTCCCAGCGCTCAAAGATGGGGAAGGCAATTGCGGCAAAACAAAGGGCAGCGGTGCGTATGGGTGAATGTGTGTGAGAGCACGCGCCTCACAGTTCTGGTGTCGTGTGTGTGTGTTGGGTGGATGCAACAAAACATACCAGCACATGCGCGCGAGACTGAAATCAGTCCCATTCGCAGCCATCTCCGCCTAACGACAGCACAAAAGAGGGCGCATCAAAAAAAAAACCAAAAAAAAAAAAGGAGCACACACAACCACCACAACCAACAACCAAACCGTTCAATCCACTACCACACACCACGCCTTTGCTGTTGTCTTTTGACGTACGTTTGTTGTGCGTGTGTGAGTGTTCGAACAGACAAACCACACACACACACACACAACCACACTTCTGTCAGCCACACTATTGTCAGGAACAATGCTTCGTCGCCGACAATGGCCAAAGGCGGCTGCCATCGCCGCAGCCATCGTCCTGCTGTATGTCTTTGTGCTCAAGCCAGAGATGGAAGAGAGCGCCCGCGACGGCCCACTGCTGCACCACAACGATGCGCGCAGCAACGACAACCACCACCACCACCACCAGCAACAGCAACAGCACCACAGTGACACAGGCGGAAGCGTGGACACAAATCACAAGCAACAACAGCAACAGCAGCAACAACAACAACAACAGCAGCAGCAGCAGCAGCAGCAGCAGCAGCAGCAGCAGGTTGGCGGAGGCAATGGCCATGTCTATCCCGATCTGAGCGTGTACCCGGGTGGCGTGAACATTCGTGGCGAGGTGGACGACAAGCACCTGCACGGCAACAAGATTGGTGTGCGGGACGACGGCGTCATGGGCTTCCGCACCACATCGTACGTGTCCATGAAGGACGAGTCCCTGGAAATGAAGCGCATCGCGCACAAGCAAAACTGCTTCAACCTCAGGCGCAGCGACAGCATCCCGCTGGACCGCGACATCCCAGACCACCGCGACTCGCAGTGCAAGAAGATTGTGTATCCAAACGACATGCCTGCAGCCAGCGTGGTGTTTGTCTTCTTCAACGAGCCGCTCTCGCCCCTGCTGCGCTCCATCCACTCCGTCCTGGACCGCACCCCGCCACACCTGCTGCACGAGATTGTGCTCGTGGACGACGGCAGCGATGCGCAGTGGCTGCAGCAGGAACTCAACGACTACATGCGCTGGCTGCCCAAGACCAAGATCGTGCGCATGCCGCAGCGCAAGGGCCTCATGGAGGCGCGCGTGCAGGGCGCCAAGGCCGCCACGGGCGAGGTGATTGTGTTCCTCGACTCGCACATTGAGGTGTCCCCGGTCTGGCTGGAGCCCATGCTTGCACGCATCACGGAGGACCGCCGCCATGTCGTCATGCCCATCATCGACAGCATCGACGCAGACTCGTTCCAGTACCGCAAGGGCGGCCTCGACATCCTCGGCTTCTCCTGGGCGCTGGGCCAGAAGAGCATCGGCACGCGCCGCCGCACGCGCACGCAGCCCATGCCCTCGCCCATCATGGCCGGCGGCTTGTTCGCCATGGACCGCAAGTACTTCTTCGACCTCGGCGCGTACGACCCGGAGATGCAGCTGTACGGTGGCGAAGAGATGGAGATCTCCTTCCGCATCTGGCAGTGCGGCGGCACGCTCGAGTGCATCCCTTGCTCGCGCGTCGGGCACGTGTTCCGCACGGGCAAGTACTGGAAGGGCCAGGTGTACACGGTGCCTGGCGACGTGATCGTTCGCAACAAGCTGCGCGCGGCCGAGGTGTGGATGGACGAGTACAAGGACATTGTCAAGCGCGTCATGTCCCCGCTGCCACGCGGCAAGACGCTGGGCCCGCTCGACATGATGTTCGACATCCGCAAGCGCCACAACTGCAAGCCCTTCAAGTGGTACCTGGAGAACGTGTACCCGGAGATGTTTGTGCCATACGACCCGGACCACGTCGTTGCCAGCGGTGAGGTGCGCAACCCGCACACGGACGCGTGCTTTGACACGCTCGGCGCGCGGCACCAGGGCGCCCGCATCGGCGCATACCCGTGCCACCACTCCCACGGCACGCAGGAGTTTGTGCTGTCCACGGGCGGCGACATTCGCGTTGCGGCCATGGACTTTGACACGTGCCTTGACCGCGGCAACGGGGACGGCAGCATCGGCATCTGGCCGTGCCATCAGACCGGCGGCAACCAGAAGTGGAACTATGACCCAAAGTCTGGCCGCCTCAGTGACGGCGACGGCCACATTTGCGCAGAGGCGCAGCGCACAGCAACCCCAAGCAGCCCGTTCAAGCTTGTCCTGTCGCCATGCGATCTCACCAACCCGGCCCAGCAGTGGATCTTCAAGGAGGCGGAGCCAAAGTAGCAGCGACGGCGATTGATTGGTTGATGATGGTGGCGGTGGTGGTGGTGGCGGTGGCGGTGGTGGCCTGATGACTTTTGGGTCACTCAGCTCAGAGAGCACTTGTGCTCGCCTCGACTTTGTGTCCGTGTGTGTGTGTGTGTGTGTGTGTGTGTGTGTGTGTGTGTGTGTGTGTGTGTGGTGTGTGTTGACTGGTACTTGGTTCGTTCCCTTCACCTTTGCCATTCGTTTCGCGCGTTGTGTGTGTGTGTGTGTGCGTGTTCGTGTTCGCTCGAGTTGGATTTGGGTGTCGTTGATTCATATGTGGACTGGCTTTGCGTGTTACTTGCAGCAATGATGACAACAGTAGCCTGCCCTCTCATTTCTGCATAGCGTCGATCAAACAACAACAGCACAATGAACATATGCGACAGAAACAAACGAGAGTGCCATGTTTGCAGTGTTTACGGTGTTGGATGTGGGCAGTGGTCGTGATGGTTGTGCATCAAGACAAACAAACGCAACGACAACAACAACAACACCACCACCACGTCATGTCTAAATACCTTTCTCTCATGCAACAAGCACAAGTAACTCACTCACTCACTCACTCACTCACTCACTCACTCACTCACTCACTCACACACACACACTCACTCACTCACTCACTCACACACTCACTCACTCACTCACTCACACACACACTCACTCACTCACTCACTCACTCACTCACTCACTCACACACACACTCACTCACTCACACACACACTCACTCACTCACTCACTCACTCACTCACTCACTCACTCACTCACTCACTCGCTGCCACAACGGTACACGTCTTCGTTTTACTTCATTTCACAACCGAATAAAAGACAAGGCGACACGCTACCGTGTTAACGCTCACACGTGCGTCCAAAGCAAAACCTACGAGCTATTACGATAGCACAGATAATACATACGAAACAACACACGCGCCCAAGCAGCTAGCTCACTGCAAACTGGGAAGCCGCAATACAGTCCGGAAAAAAAGACCCACATCACCACGACACATCACAAAGAGAAGAGGGGCAGCAGGAGTGTGCGGCCGGTCATGCTTCAACGGGAAGAGCGTTCGATTCGACGTCCTCGCGCCAGACACTCAACCAAACCAGCCCAAGCCAAGGGCCTGACGAATCTGCTCATAGATCTGCACAGGCGACAAGCAAATCCCCACAGAGGCAACAAGATGGGGATGGCGAGTCCGGGCAACGTGGGAGAATGATGAGAAAAGTGCACGTGATACGATGTGATGGGATCGCGCAAGTGTCTGCGCACATGGGACTGAATACGCGCAGGCAAAGAGCAATGCAAACACATCTGACGCACACGCCGCACACACGCACACACGCACGCACACACATACAGATGCGCATGTAAACATACACGTACACGCACGCACACGCGCACACACGCACACATACACACATGCACACACACACATGCACACGCACACGCACGCACACGCACACACGCATGCACGTACCGGGGTCATGACGACAAAGAGCGAGCAGATGCGCACGGCAGAAGGGGTCCAGCCACGGAAGAGGGCAAGCGGGCCCTCGTGGCGAACAAGCTGGACAAGGCAATCGAGCGGGTTCTTGAACAGGTGCGGCTCAGACATGTACCGCGACTTGACCACATCCGCCGGCGCTGCTGCTGTGGCAAAGGTGAGGCCTGACACGAGCGATGCCGCGGCGTGCAGCATGGGGCCCTCGCTGGCTGCAAAGTGCTTCTTGCCCAGGTACTTTGTGTGGTCGTAGGCTGCCAGCTGCGCGCCCGTGCCCATGGCGGCGCGAATCACGGTTGCGGACGACCCGGCATACATCTTGAGGAACCCTTCTGCGCGAATGATGTGCGCCATCGCCTGGAACCCGTTGTGGTATCTGACGGCATGCCCCTTGGAGAGCCCCGTGACGTAGACGGGGCCCTTGGGCGTGTTCGCCACGCGGCCAGCTTCCCGCTGCATGCGAATCTTGACCACGTCTGTTGGGTTTGCAATCAAGGCGCCAAAGCCGCCCGTGACTGCACCGGAGAACATTTTCTTCAGGATGCCGACGTCGCCCACGTTTGCGTTTTCGGAGTCGAAGATGACGCGCTTGACGATCGGGTAGGCGCCGTACCGGATGCCAGAGTACAGGATGTCTCTGTAGCATGCCGACACAATGCCGGCAGACAGGAGGGAACTGATGCCTTCCTCCGCGACGATGGTGCGCATGGTTCTGCCAAATGTTGTGTACACGCGTTTGCTGGGATCGGGCACAGACATGGACTCTGCTTGCATGCGCACTTTCGCCGTGTCAGTCCAATTGAAGCAAGCCGTCCCAGCAAACGCCGTGCAGTACCCTACATGCACATGCGTGCGTGCGATTGCGTATGTGTGTGTGCGTATATGCGTATGTGTGCGTATGTGCGTGTGTGTGTGTGTGTGTGCGATTGCATGTGTGTGTGCGTGATAAAGTGTGTGTGTGTGTGTGTGTATTGGGGTTACGATTGCACGGCTACCAGTGTGCATCTGAGCACCAACTTTCTCGAACTCATCAGCTACATCCCATCCCAGCACACTGCAAGCAAGCACGGCACTGCCGATCGCATGCGCCGATCGCCATTGCCACAAATGCACAACGCTCGCCTCTACCCCAAACACCCCCTCCCCATCCAGCGCTCACACACGCAACACGCACACACACACGCACACACACACACACATGCGCATCCACACACGAAAGTACACGCACGCGCGCGCGCGCACATGCACACATCATCCCCATTGCGCACCAGAGGAGAAGATCTCGCGGAAGTTTCTGTGGCGAGGAGACGATCCAGGTTCGGGCTTGTCCATGAGCAGTCCAAGGAGTACAGCACTGGACGACCCAAACAACAGGGCCAGCGCAACGCCTTCCGTCATCACCATGATGGCTAGTGCAGTGCAGTGCAGTGCAGTGTGTGGTGCAGTGTGTTGCGTGTGGTGGTGTGCAGCGTGTTTGTCCTGCCTTCTTGGTCAACAACCACAAAACCTGATGTTGCGAATATCTTCAACCACTTTTCCTCACTGCGCCTTTCGTGCACGAGACACTGCTGATTCTGCTGATTCTGCGATCGACTGCCTTTTTTCCTTTTTCTTCTGCACTGTCCACCACACCAACCAACCACCATCGTCAACCCCTTGCTTGCTCTCATCATCAGACCTGCCAACACCCGCACCGACACACCAACACACCAACACGAGCACTACCACCACCAAAGCCGATGGTGGAAGAAGATTCTAACCAACCAGCTGTGCCGCAGCAGCAACATGCGGCGGAGCGAGACCTGCTGTACAAGGCGTTTGCGGAAGTGAGCGTGGCATACACGGATGTGACGGGCCAGTTTGGTGTTACACCGGCATGCCCGTCATGCATTGACGTTTCCGCCCTCGTCAACTACGCCATCAACCTCAACCTGGAGAAGCTCGGCGCGGAGTCCGCCGTGGACATCAAGCCCGAGGAGGAGGAGGCTCTCCTGCACAAGGTGCAATGGCTCCTGGTCGTCCATTACGTGGAGAACATTGTGGAGCAGTTCCACACCAACGGCGTGCCTTTCAACCTCATCATCTTTGAGAACAAGGCCGCCGCAGTGCCGAGCGCTCGGGCCGCACTGCACGCCGCAGTGCTCGCGCACCTCCAGCACAACACCGAGCTGAACGTGCAGGTGGTGCCCTCCCCGCACAGCGAGGCCTGGGCCCACTTTGTGGAGCTCAAGCTGCCCTCCATGCTCATCACAGAGTACCCAAAGACCATGGACACAGAGTACCACACGCAGTGCTACGCCAACCTGTGGTGCCTCACCCACGACGCCGTCCCTGTCGTGCTCTTTGACCACATGGAGAACCACAACCCGCGCTTCACGGGCTACCACCTCGACCCGCGCGCCCTCGACACCGTGGACGAGCATCTCACGGAGGCCGTGCGCGTTCTCATCAAAGAGAGTGTCCCGGCGGCCAACATCGTCATGCAGGACGTCGCGGAGCTGCACCGCCTCGTCCCCGACGGCGTCAACGCCGCCAAGACCATCGCGCTTGCCGGCGCGCTTGCGGAGGCCGACCTGAAGTCGCCCGAGGAGCGGACCATCGGCGCCCTCTTCTTCCTGCAAGGCCTCTTCACAGACGCCCTCAAGCTCGAGGACATGTGCTTCCGCGGCGTCGTCCTGCCCACAGACGCCTCTAAGACCACCCAGGCATGCCCTGCGATCGTCACGCGCCTCATTGAGCAGATGCGCCTCTTCCCGCAGCACCAGGACGGCCTCGCCCCCACCCACTACGATGGCAAGGTCCTCCACACCATGCTGGCATACGCCCACTTGCCCGGCAGCCAGCCGGCCACCATTGGCAGCATCGCAGCAACGTTCACCGTTGCTGACGAGCTCAAGGCCTGCGCAGGCCTCATCAAGCAGCTGAACCTGGAGTGGCTGCTGCCCGACACTGCGCTCGCCGTGGAAGGGTGCGATGCCGCTGTTGCCGCCTGGCGCGACACCCAGTCCGCGGTGCAGGCTGAGGCCGGCACCCATGGCGGCGATGCCGCCTTGGAGCTCCATCCCGTGCGCCAGAACGCGCTGCTTGCAGACATTCTCCTCGATGATGACCACACGGAGGACCTGCACACCCAGGACAGTCTTGCCATTGAAAAGCTTCGCGGCAACGGCGCCACGGAGTGGTGCGTGTCCTTTGTTGTTTGCATGCATGCAATCTTGTCGTTCTCGTTGTCATTGTCGTTGTTGTCGTTGTTGTCCTTGTTCTTGTTCTTGTTCTTATTGTTGTTCTCGCTCCTGTTCTTGTTCTTGTTCTTGTTCTTATTGTTGTTCTCGTTCTCCGCTGCCCCTCCCCGTCACCACCACCACCACTGACGCACAAACCACACCTTCGCTTGCGCCTTGCGCACGTGTGTGTGTGTGACTGTTTCCAACAGGGACGACGCGACCTTCCAGCGCGACCGGCCCATGTATGTGCGCTTTTCCAACGACGACGAGGAAGAGCTGACGGAGGAAGAGATTGAGAAACTCAACCGCCACCAGCAGAACGAGGCCTTCCGTAACGCGGTGTGTGTGTGTGTGTGTGTGTGTGTGTGTGTGTGTGTGTGTGTGTGTGTGCGGGTTGCGTGAATGCTTGAATGTGTGTGTGTGTGCGGATTGTATTTCTCTGCATCTGATGTAAATGATGCTGTGCGCCTTCTTACAAATCCACATGATGTGCGCTTCCATCACCACCACCCATCACACCCCTCCTTCGCCGCAGGTGGAAGCGTACATCAGGCTTGCGCGCAACCGCCGCCTCATCCACGAGCGGGATGCCCGCCCGCTGCTGGAGGAGGCCGTGCGTAAGGCCCCCGGTGCCTGGCAGAGGCGGTTGCGGAGCTGCCTCGACAGAAACCACTGGGCTGCCGCGCTGCCAGTGTGTTTGAAGGCACGAAAGGCATTCGATGCTGCACGCGCACGCCAGCGCCTCGCCGCCTTCAACACGAAATTCGCCCAAACCCTGCTCGGTACACCCACACCGCGCCACACTGCTGGCTGCAAATGATGCCCGCGTGTCTTGCCTGTGTGTTGCTGAGGATTCGTTTGTTTGTCTGCATGTCTGTGCGTGCATGCGTGTGATGCCAAAGCTAGCTATTGGTCTTTTCTGATTGTTCGTGAGCTTTTACTTCTTCTTGTCCCTCCTTTTGCTCTCTCACTCTCACACTTACACCATCTCTCACACCCACTCTCACACTCTCTCACACACTCACACACAAACTCACAAAACGTCACACTCACAAACTCACATCACGTCTGCTTCGTTTTTCCACCCTTGCTGACACGCAGGACAACTCCAGCGCATGAATCTCGATGCTGCTCCCCAGGAGAAGCAGAAGGCGCCCAAGACAGCTCACTGCGTCCGCGTGTTTGCACGCGAGATTGTTGGGGGCCAGAAGCGGCTGGACGCGGTGAAGGCGACGCTGGCTGAACTGCGAGACATGGCCAAGAAGGCCCGCACTGCCCGCACAGAGAAGTCCATTGGCGACTGGTTCTTCAAGGAGAAGCGCCTCTTTGAGTATGATGTACGTCATTGCTGTTTGTGTATGTGCCCATTGTGCGAAATCGCACCACATGAATACACGCCTGTACAATTTCAACACCTTTGCTCTCTCTACCGTAGTCCCCGCTCCTATTTTACCCCCGCACACGCGTTCACTCGCCCACTCACACGCGCCCACTCACACTCGCTCGCTCACTCACTCACTCACCCACTCCCTCACTCACTTGCTCGCTCGCAATTTGGCAATGGCCCAGGGCAAGCCCGTGGAGGAGACGCTGATGTACGAGGAGGACGTGCTGGGCATTTCAAAGCCGGCGCCCAACGCCAAGCAGGCCATTGCCGACTTCAAGAAGCTGCGGTACCGCGAGCAGCTGCGGGAATACCGGGCAGAGGCCGCCGTCATTGCCATGGAGATGCACCTGCTGCGGCTCGACTGCCACCTTGAAGAGGAGGAGAGCCGTGCTGAAGCAGGCACAGCCAATGAAGAGGACACCATGAACCATCACGACTATGACCCGTGCGTCCTGTCCAAGACGGACCACCTCACGGTCGCTGTCACCAACGCCCTGCTGGACCTGATTGAGGAGATGTGTGACACGTCCTCAAAGCTGCATGAGCACGTGCTCAAGCTGCACCCGCGTGTGCTCAGCGCCATGCTGCAGCTGCACTTTGAGGAGGATGCAAAGAAGGTCCTCAAGCTCCTCCAGGCAAAGGTCGGTGCCCCAACTTCTGTTTCCCTTGCTGTGCCGTAGCTGGCCCGTGGATGTTGGCGTGAGTGTGGGTGGGTGTTGGTGTTGGTGTCAGGATGTGTGATCTGTGTGAGTGGGTGTTGGTGTTGGAGGGTAAAGCACTGTTGAAGGCGTGTGTCAAGCACCTCTTACGTGTTTGGGCGCGCACGCTCACCCTTCAACCGCTGCTTGTGTACAGTTTGATGTGACCACGACCCTTGAGGGCCTGGAATCCTCGCGCGACCTCGGCATTCCGTCCACAACACTCATTGACTTCCAGCTTCGGGCCATGGGCCCTTACTTTCAGCGGCCCAAGGGCAACCCAGACGAGAGGTACGCCTGGCTTGCTTGCTTGCTTGGTCAGTGTGCGCTTGAACTGTGACAACACGTGGGCCTGGAGGTCAAAGGGTTGTGACTGCGACGCTCCTTGTCCACACACACACACACGCGCGCGCACACAGAGAGAGAGAGAGAGAGAGCACACACAGCACACACGCACACACACACACACACATCACACATCACACACATCACACACACACACATCACACATCACACACACACACACACCCGCTTTGAATCTCGTTTGGCCCGCCTCCACCCTCCCTCCCCCTCTCGCCTCTCTCCCATCTCACACACTGCCCTCTTCCTGTGCGCGTGTGTTTATTCTTGCGTGTAGGTCTCCCTTCTTTGATCCTGATGACTGGCAGGTTGAGCTGCTGGATGCAGTTGATGCGCGTCGCAGTGCCCTCATCTCTGCCCCCACCTCCAGCGGCAAGACATTCATCTCCTTCTACGCCATGGAGAAGGTGCTCCGTGCCCGCGCTGACCTTGACGATCCAAAGACCAAGGCCGACGCAGACAAGCAGGTCATTGTCTACGTCTCGCCAACCAAGGCTCTCGTCAACCAGACTGTCGCAGAGGTGCGAGCGCATGTGCATTGACGCGTATGGCTACTCGGGTAAAACGTTTTGTGGATGCTTCCTCTAAGTTGTTCTCTCCCTTTGTGCACTGTCCGGGATAACGTCGCTCACCGCTCATGCTACCGTAACACGCAACTCGCACACACACATACACCTTCAGATTGAGGGGCGCTACAGCAAGAAGATGCCGCGTGGCCAAGTACTAGCGACTGCCTTCACCAAGGAATTTGGCATGGAAGAGTACAAGAGCTGCCAAGTACGTAACCTCAGTTGTTTGTTTGAGACGTTGACTTGCACACGCGCACACTCACGCGTACGCATGCACAAACAACTTGCTCTCTTCTCCTTGCATAAGTGTCCTGTGAACCTTGCTTTGTCTTGAGGGCAGGCGACTACATATGTGCAAGCACGTCATGCCTCAAAACGACTCGCAAACTCTCACAAAGTCTTACACGTACTCATCCACATGCCCTCACCTTGCACCTCTGCCTGCTATATTTTTTATCCTGTTGTGTCGTGGTACAGGTCCTTGTGACAGTGCCGGAGTGCCTCGAGCACCTGCTGCTGATGGCCGGTGATGAAGGCTGGAAGCATCGCATCAAGTGGGTCATCCTCGATGAGGTACACAGCGTGTCCCTGAACGAGGGCTTCTTCTGGGAGCGCCTGCTCACCCTGATTGACTGCCCGTTCCTCGCCCTCTCCGCCACAATTGGCAACACGGAGAGCTTCATTTCGTGGCTGGAGGCCCTGGAGCGCGAGCGCCTTGCCCGTCGTGGCGGCGACGTCACCCAGCCGCTGGTGAAGATCCGCCACCACCTCCGCTGGAATGACCTGGACACGTGGTGCTACGACCTCGACAACAGCCGCATGGTCACCGTGAACCCGCTGGGCGTGCTGTCCCCGGCCAAGCTTGTCCTTGACGGCTTTCCCTCGGGCTGCCGCCTGCTGCCGGAGCACGCGTACGAGCTGTGGTCCATTGCCAGCGATATTATGAAGCAGCGCGAGTCCCTGCCTGCTGCCACGCGTGCTCTGCTGCAGCCGCTTGATCCCAGCGCGTGGTTTGTCAAGCACCAGCCGCTTGCTGGCGATGCCGAGCACGGCCTGTGCGGGCGCGTGCGTGTTAAGTCGTATGCGGAGTACGAGGAACAGCTCAAGGCGAAGCTGACCGACCTTGCGCGCGAGGATCGGGAGCTGCTGGAGGAGCTTGCTGCCGAGGTTGGCGACCGCATTGAGCGCCCCTCCCGCAACATGCTTGCCGACCGCGACCTGCAGGACGGCGCGCACCTGCTGTCGTTCCTGCGCCACATGTGCAACGGGCCGGCGAACCGGCTGCCTGCGCTGCTGTTCCACCTGGACATGGCCGGCATTGACCGCATCCTCGAGTCGCTGCACTTCGCCCTCTGCCGCGAGCAGGACGAGCACTACTACCTGCACGACGTCGTTGGGGTGCGTTTGCGAGGCCGTTACGAGATGCACGGTGGTGGTGGTGGCGGTGGTGATATGTGTGATATGTTTAACTGTGTCTGTATACCTGACTGTCTGTCTGTTTTCCGTCTGTCTGTCTCTCTGTTTTGGCGGCACACAGTCACACTCATGCATGCGCGCACGCGCACACACACACACACACACGCACACGTACGCACGCACACATACACACGCACGTTTTCACTGGCGCTCACTTGATATTGCTCATTTCGGGTTTTGTGTTTCACATCACCATTCTTCACATTGCAGGGCAGCCACTCCCGCCTGAACGAAGCGCACGCCAAGCACCTACAGGAAGCGCGCGAGGCGGTGGACAGGTACATGCATGAGCTGAAGGAGGCCGTGCAGCACATCACGGACGAGAAGAAGAGGGAGGAGGAGCTGCAGGCGCGCATTGATAAGGAGACTGACCGGCAGTTGGAGCGCCTGTGGGGAGAGACGTACGAGGAAATGAACCGCAAGTGGCTGGAGCGAACCAAGGCTGCGGCTGAGGCCAAGGCGCGCGCCTACATCAACCAGCTGATTGCAGATGGGCAGCTGCCCAGGAACGAGGCCGCCATGCGCCAGCAGCTGGAGGACGACCACGTGAGTGCAGAGGTTGATCGCCTGTCTGCCGAGCGCATGCGCCCCTTCTGCCTGTCAGAGCTGCCCGTGTCACTAGAGGACCTCGCGGACGCCTTCCCCAAGAGCAACAAGCAGAAGATGCAACGCAAGCTGGAGTCGTCTCTGTTCCACCAGGCGCTTCGCCGCGGCATTGGCATCCACTACCCGGAGCTGACCAAGGACCGCCGCCAGGCCGTCGAGCGCCTCTTCCGCGACCGCAAGCTCGCCGTCGTCATCTCAACAGACACCCTTGGTGTGTGTCTGTGTGTCTGTGTGTCTGTGTGTGCGCGCGTGTGCGTGTGTGTGTGTGTGGTGGTGGTGGTGGTGGTGGTGGTGGTGGTGGATTTCATGTTTGAGAGCTGCATTGTTCCGGTGCGTGCTTGCATCCTTGAGAGAGAATGTGTGGGTGGGCCCCTTTTTGTTTGTGCCCTGTATGTGTTGCGGACGCCATCACAACAGTGGCAAGCTGTGATCTCACCCCCACCCACTTGCTATCTATCTTCATCGCCTTGACAACAGCTCTTGGCATCAGCATGCCGTGCCGCTCTGTTGTGTTCTTGGGTGACAACCCTGCTCTGGATTCCCTCAACTACCACCAGATGTCTGGTCGCGCTGGCCGTCGTGGACATGACATCCGTGGGCATGTTGTGTTCTATGGTATTTCCAAGCACAAGATCCGCCGCCTCCTCTCATCCCCTCTCCGCCAGATGTTCCCCAACATCCCGCTCGACTCTTCCACGTGCGTGCCTCCACCTAGCTGTGCTTGCACCTGTGCGTGTGTGTGTGTGTGTCAGTGTGCATGTGCGTCCGTGTATGTGTGTGTGTGTGTCTGTACGTCTGTACGTCTGTGTGTGTGTCTGTCTGTCTGTCTGGCGACTGGCTGTCTGTCTACTGTAGCTTGGTTTGTCGTGCCACCCGTTTGACATCGAACTAGCCCTCATTTGCAAATCCCCGCATCACGTACGCAGTGCGGTGCGAGCCATGGCGCGCTTCCAGGAAGCCAAGGGCACGCTGAAGGAGAAGGAAGGGCTGAGCCTGCGCCGCCTGCTGCTGGAGCCGTACGCAACGCAGGACGCCGAGCGCCAGGCCATGCTGCCCGTGTACATGCGCGCACAGCTTGAGACGCTGCTGCGCCTGAACCTGTTGACGTTTGACACCAACCCGAAGCTGCTTGCTTACCGGGAGGCTAAGGCGGAAGAGCGGCGGCGGCTTCGAGAAGAGGGCGAGGCCGAGGAGGCGGCACTGCTCGCTGCTGAACGAGCGAAGGAAGAGGAGGAGAAAGCAAAGGAGGAAGAGGCACAGGAGGGAGAGGAGGTGCCTGACGACTGGGAAGCCCTGCTTGGTGGCGATGAGGACGATGAAGATGACAAAGACGACGACGACACTGCGGAGTCGTGGGAGGCACTCGCGAACGAAGCGGAGGAAGGCGGTGAGTCCGCGGCCGAGCCAGATGCGGATGACGCACAGAGGGTCGATGCCGACGAGGAGGAGGAGGAGCTGGAGCTGGAGGAAGCGGCCGACCCCGACGCTCCCCTTGCTTTTGCTGGCCCTGTTGTTGGCCGCATCGGCAGCATGGTGAGCTACCTGGCCTGCCACGACCCCAACAACGTGTGGATGGCGTACCTCGTGCGCACGGGGGCCCTCAGCCAGTTTCTGTCTCCAACAACGGAGGCGGAGCGCCTGACCCACGACGAGCGCAGCGATCGGCTGGAGCTCTTCCGAGCGATTTTGCTGAGCATGCCGCAGCCTCGCGTGCACCCGACAGAGGTGCACCACACGAAGCGCATGTTCCCGGATGCGCAGGACGTGTACCTGGTGCAGCCTGCGCTGTCCGACGCCCTGCACCAAGCCGCAGTCAACTTCCGCGCCCAGGTCTTGGACACGTTTGCCAGCATCCTGCGCCTGCACGGCCTGCGTAAGGCTCCTGCTGGCGCTGGCGTTGGGCTGCCGCTCTCCAAGGACAAGGGCCAGGTAGGCGGCAGCAAAGGCCTGCCGAGCGATCTGCAGGAGCTGAAGGTCTGCGACCCTCTCCGCCTGCCCACTGCTGCTGTGTCTGGTCGCGGCTTCGGCTACGACAGCGTGCGGGAGCTGCTGCTTGAGATCCAGCGCCTTCCGGGCCTCTCGGCCGACATTGTGCCCATTCCCGCGTGTGTGGACGAGCGCCAACCGCATCTCCTTGGCATCATGTACGACATCTACCGCCGCGGCGACCTCAAGACGCTGCTGCCACAGGCCAAGCTGCACGCCAACACTTTCTACTCATCTGCTGCTCTTTTCCACCACAACGCAAAGGTGCGCTTGCGTGCCTGTGTTGGGTGTGGGTGTGTGTGTCAGTGTCAGTGTAAACACCTGTCTGACGTCTGCTGGCTGTGTGCCTCGCTGTCTGTCTGTCTGTCTAACCGTCTGCCTGCCTGCCTGTTTGCTTGCTTTGTGGTACGATGCACTTTGTGCCAAACGCGTGTATGTGGCTTGCCGTATTCATGTGTTGTATTGGTTTGTTGTGGTTTTGTTTCGGTGTTGTGCTTCCATGTGTGTGTGTGTGTGTTGAGCTCACTGCTACCATCAAATGTGCTGTTGCGGTCAACAGGTGCTTGTGGAGGCGCTTCGTCGTCGTGCTACGCCAACCACTGCGGCGACGACCGATGCTGCTGCAGAGGAGGAACCTGGCGAGGCCACAGAGGACGCCAGCCGCGCCGCCACCGCCGAGCCGGCGACGGAGGGTGCCCGCCTTGTGGGCGACCTCAGCACCGTCGTCAACGACTTTTACGGTGCCCTCGAGCGCGTTGGCCTCATCTGGATCTAATCCAACTCCCGCCGCTGACTCTGTGTGTGTGTGTGTGTAGTATGCTTTGTGTGTGTCGTGTGTGTGTGTGTGTGTGTGTGTGTTGCTTGTCTCTTCTGCTTTGTCTCCTTCTTCTCCGTCCTGTTCGTTTCATTCACCTCCTTCTTCTTGTTCGTCTTTGTGGCTTGTTCGATTGTGAGGACGTGTCAGTTGCAGTGATCGTTGTGTGTGGCATGATGATATGACAGCAGCAGCATGCCTCGAGCAAAGAAGCTGCCTGCTGGCTGGTGGTGTTTGTGTTTGTTTGATCTGCCAATACAGTGACATTTCGTGGAAGACATTGGTGAAATTTCGGGTTGTTTGGCGCACAACAAAGCCACCCTCAACAACAACAACCAACTTGCATTCCTACCAACCCTTCCTACCTGTTGTCTTCATCGTGCCTTCCCTCCTTCTGTCTGTCGTCAAAGGCGCAGCAACGCATCTCGCGTCCCATACCCCCACCAATCTCACCCACAAGCAAACGTGCAAGCAAGCAAAAGGGAGAAGCCGCCACCATGTTAAAGTCAACTGGGAAAGAGGGGCGGCCCAACTTTCAGCTGGACTGTGACAAGTTTGCTGCTGAGCAGCTGCGGCAGAAACATGTTTCCAACGTGTACCGCTTGACGCGCGAGGAGCGCCTTCGCATCATGGACCCAGAGTGCGTCTTGCTGGTGGTGGTTGTTGTTGTTGTTGTGTTGCTGATGGTGGTGGTGGTGAAGCTGTGCATTTGTAGTTGCTGTCGCTGTGTTTGTTGTGCGTGTCTGTGTCTGTGCGCAGGCCTGTGTGTGTGTCTGTGTCTGTGCGCAGGCCTGTGTGTGTGTGTGTGTGTATGCGTGTGTGTGTGTGTGTGTGTGTGTGTGTGTGTGTGTGTGTGTGTGTGTGTGTGTGTGTGTGTGTGTGTGTGTGCGGTTGGACGTTTTCATGTGTACATGTCATGTGGTTGGGGGGGGGTGTCCTTCCTGCATCCCTTTGCAGTTGTTTGTCCGGCTTCAATCTCACGCCAGTTGCCTTTTGCTCGACAGATGAGCCAAAGAAAGTGATTACATACAAGCTTCCAGATTACTCCAAGGTTTCGAGCAAGATTGGCCAGTCCGCCACCTCCCCATACAAACGACGTGCGTGACTTCAAACACACGTGTGTGTGTTTGTGTTTGTGCGTGTGTGTGTGTGTGCGTGTGTGTGTGTGTGTGTGTGTGTTTGTGCGTGTGTGTGCGCGCGCGGTTGTGCGCGTGTACGCTTGTGTTGAACGCTTGTGCGTGTGTGTGTACACTTGTGTGCTGCTCGTGCCCGTCTTGTCCTTGCGTGCATCTGCGTTTCGTTCTGTGATTCCGATTGCCTGCTTCCTGGCTTGTGACAGATGGCGGTAATGTGCGCGTCAAGTTTGGCGTGGCCAAGAAACGCAACCTGCCGCCACTGACGCCGGCAGCGCCGGACCGCGAGGCCACATATCTGCGGCGCAAGGAGCTGCTTCGCGAGTACACACGCAAGCTGGACCCATCAGGCACGTCGCCAGAGAAGCGGCGGAGCCCTGGCCGCGGGCCGCAGCCCGACGGTGGCGCAAGCCCAACACATCACAGCAACAAGCAACGACGCGAACAACACGGCAGCGACAGCGGCAGCACCACTGGCCCCAACACTACCACCCACGCCGCCACCAGCAGCAACAGAAGTGGTGAGAATGACGAGTACAGCCGACACAACGACGTTCGTCGTGCGACTGATCAGACCCCGGCATCACCTGAGTCCCCAACCACCATCAACGATCACAAAGATGCTGATGTACATGCATCATCGTACGCGAACGTCGCCGCCCACGGCAATTCAAACGACGACGACGACGACGACGACGACGACGATGGTGCAGTTGAGCTGATGGATGGTCCGCAGGACTGAGGAACACCATGGGTGGTGGTGGTGGTGTGTGGTGATTGTGGTAGCGCTCTCATGCTGGTCGTGTCATGGTGGTTGGGAGGGGACGAGGTTCGTATCGTGTGCGGGTCGATGGTTCGTGTCATCATGTGCGGGTGGACGGTGCACGGCAGACACTTTGTGGTTGCCTTCCCGCTTCCCCTCCCCCCCCCCATTGTTTTGTTTTATTTCTTCTTCCTCATCTTGTTCGTCGTCTTCTTTGACGACTTGGTCTTTTTTGTTGCCCATACACGATCTTTTCCTGTGGGTTGTGGTGCTTTGTGATGACTCATTCACACACACACACACACACGCACACACACACATACACACATACACAAGCACGCACACACACAAACACACACACACACACACACACACACACACACACACACACACGCCGTTTTGTGTAGTGTTGCCTTTGTGTGTGAATTTTTTCCATCTGAACGAATAAAATCGCGCGGTACACACTTCCGTCAGCTCCACAATCCAAAAAGGCGGACAACTAGCTGTCTTCTGTCAGCTCGCGTCAGGTCAAACGTACCCCCGCGCGTGCATGCTTGCATGCACGCCATACGCACACACACGCACACACACACGCATACGCCTCTCACCTGAGCGTTCGTCGAGTTATGAAACCCTCTGTCGTGACATGACACGCATCACAGCAACAGAAAACCAAATAATAAAACAATGGCGCGGAGTGAGTGCGACATGGGCTCGCTCTGACACCCTCCGTCCGTCCGTTCCGTCCGTTCCCAGCCAACCCACTTCGACCTGACACTCCCTAATAATGCGTTTGACAAGCACCCCTTTTTTGCTGGCAGTGTGCATCTCCCTTCTCCCTTCTCCCTTCTCCCTTCTCCCTTCTCCCTTCTCCCTTCTCCCTTTTTCTTCTTTGCGTGCTCTGGCCCTCTCGCAATTGTATGGTGGAGCAGCTGCACATCGTCATTTACCTCGGCATCAGCTGTTTGAAGACTACGAGAAACACAGGCAGGAGCAAAGGAGACTCAAGACCCAAGGGCAGAGCAAGAACAGCCACACGCTCACAAGACCACAGCAACACAGCTGTTTGAGCAGCCAGCCAGCCCCAGCCATCATCAAAGCACTGCAGCACAGACTGTACGACAGACATCATGTCAAGGGTTATTATGCCGGGCCACCTGGACGCCAGAGGAGTGGCTCAAGCAGCTGGTATCCCAGAATGGTGCACCAAACCCGAAGACATCTGCATCCGGCCCACGGAAGCCATCGTTGACGCATCTGGCCCCGTCGACGAGTACCTGACCCAAGTCCTCCGGCGCATCAAGGCTGAGTTCAAAGCATTCTACGATGACCTGGACCACGATTATCCCACCAGGTATGATGCATGCACACACAACACTTGCACAGAGAGAGAGACAACACACAGGGCTGTGAACCCACAGATACGAGCACATATCCATCGACACCAACCCATCCCTCTGTAGCGTGCGATCGCTCTGCTCTCGTCCCTTGCATCCCGCTTTGCATGCGACCATGTAGAGATGTAGTGTTTGGGTTTATGTGCGCTGGCAATCACTGCTTCCTTGACATCACACTCACACGCACAGAGTTCCAACTCCCACCCCAACTTCCTCTCACGCACACACAAATACACACACACACTCTCTCTCTCACACACTCTCTCTCACACACACACACACTCTCTCTCTCTCTTTTACCCTCGCTCTCTCCCTCTCTTGCCCCCACGCAACATGTCGCAGGTACATTGCCAAGGTCAGACTGACGGGCGGGAGCCTCACGGTGACTGACATGAAGCCTGAAGAGACAGTGGAAGAACGCGTCGAGGAGCTTGAAAAGTTTGACGCGGGTGACTTTCAGTACCACATGCTCAAGTACAAGGGAGCGTTTTACATCGCTTTTGGGCAACGAGGAGGGCAATCCCTCTCCCTTGTGCCGTGTGGACCGCCTTCCTCCCAAGCAGGCAGCCCTCGCACTGGCTGGGCTGCCTTGGCCCTCCAACCCGAAGAGCATGACAATGACCATGCACTCGTCCTCGACTACAGTTACGTCGGCGACATCATCGCACAGGCGCAGGCCTGTAGGGCGCTGCTGGAGCGTGGGGAGCACTCCGCACTCCTGACAGCGGTCGCTGACCCATCTCAGCGCACAGTGGTGCCGTACAATCATCGCAACTTCAGCGAGGATGTGCCCATCAACGAGGCCCAGCAAACCGCGCTGAGGGCCCTCCGATACAACGTCGAGGCTGTTCGAGGACCACCGGGGACAGGCAAGAGTACAACCATCTATCACCTCGTCAAGAGTGTGCTGGACCCAAGCGGCATCACCATCGTTACTTGTGTCCAGGTGAGCACGACGCTCCATAATCAAGTACTTGCTGTCCATGCTTGCTTGTGTGTGTGTGTGTGTGTGTTCGTGCGTGTCTGTGTGTCCGTGTATTTGTGTGTGTTTATGTGTTTGCGAGCTTGTTCGCTCGACGATTGCGTTCAGCCTGGCACGCACCCCATGCTCTCTGCGTGTCATGTCAATCACGCTAGTGTACAAACGCCCCCTGCGCACAATCGCACACACAAACACACACACACACTACTCACACACATCACACACACACACTACTCACACGTGGACTGGTTCTGCAGAACAAGGCTGTTGAAGCTGTTGCTGAGAAGCTGCGCCAAGGCAGCATCGAGTTTTTCGTTGTGGGCAACTACGAGCGCCTGAGTCCGATGTCGCGCAAGTGCACCCTCGAGCAACGGGTGAAGCAGGACCCACGCGTCAAGGCCATGGAGAGGAAGATCAGGCGGCTCAAGTTCTTCCTCGAGAAGGTCATTCGCCCAGCCCGGCAGGCGAATGTTGTCTCCAGCAACGCACGCCACCAACGGTACCGCCAGCATCGTGCCAATGAGCTCTTCGGCACCGTATCACTGACGGACGCCAGGAGTGCCGCCAAGCATCGGTGGCTGGCAAACGACCCGTGGGACAGGTTCTGGCGCGCGTGGATGCGCCACCGCCACCCGCAGCTGGAGGTCATGGAGCAAGTCTGCAACGGCCTCATTCAACGTCTCTCGACGGAGTGCATTGAGACGATCCAAGATGTCCGGCTCGGGATTGTTTCCTCTGTTCGGGCCATTCTCTGCACAGCTGCCAGCGCAGCGAGCAGGCTGCCTAAGCTGGAAAGTGATTTTGACGTGGACTTTGCTTCCCGCGTCAACAGCATCGTCCTTGACGAGGCTGGCACCTGCCCGGAGGCGTGTGTGACGTTGCTGCTGCACGCGTGTCCACACACGGACCGCATCATCGCCATCGGCGATAACAAGCAGCTTCCCTCGTTCTCCCGCATCCGAGACGTGAAAAACGCCTGCCACGACTTTGCCTGGAATGGGTCGTGCCGTTTTGGAGATCGCTGCAGATTCCGCCACGTGACGCAGCAGGGCTTCTTCCACCGGCTGGCCACGGTCTTGCGGGGCGGGAGCGGTGTGCACCAGCTCACTGTCCAGTACCGCATGCACGCGAGCATCTGTGGCATGGTGTCGCGTACCTTCTACGGTGGTACCCTTGTTACGCCCGGCAGCACTGCTCGCGACCGCAGCAGCCAGGATCGCCACGGCCTGTGGTGGATTGAGACCTCCGCAGCGGCCAAGGAACAGAAGGAGAGCAAGTCATATGTCAACCAGGACGAGTGCCACCAGGTCCAGGAGGCGCTGATGAAGCTGCAAGACGAGGTGGGAAGGCACGGCTTTGAGCAGCTCAGCGTCAAGGTCATCACGTTCTACAAGAAACAGCGGAAGCTGATGGCTGACGTGCTACGCCAAAGCGGTTTCAGGGTGCACACGAGCGATGATGCTCGCCAGCAGAGGCGGCGGAGGCGGCGGAGGCAGCAGAGGCGTCAACAAACTGCCCCGCCCGACGAGTTTACGGACGGCGATGACGAGGTGGATGAAGAGGAAGATGACGCGTTCAAGGGCGTGCAGGTGCAGACGGTGGACGAAAGCCAGGGCTCCGAGTCTGACGTCGTGATATTGTCCTGTGTGCGCTGCAACGACCACGGCAATGTGGGTTTTGTGAGCATGCGCAATCGCATGAATGTCGCTTGCAGTCGAGCTCGCTACCGCCTCGTCATTGTCGGCAACAGTGACACGCTGAAGGAGCACAGTCATCAGTGGCGCATGATCCATCGACACTGTCGCCGCGTTCACTCGGCTCAGGAACTTTCTCATTTCGGCCGCCCCGTGGTCGATCTGCAACAAGCACTGGCGGACCTGGGCCTGTTTTGAACAGTGGCATGGAATTGACCTGTGCCAAGTGTCGCGTGTTACTTTTCTCTTCCTTTTCGTGCGCCCTGCGTCCGAATGCGAGAGTTTGGGTTGAGATGTTGCTCATTCTTGGTTTGTTTGTTCTGGTATTGCCCTCATAACACGCTGCGTTGCTGCGGTTCAAGGGTTCCGTCTTTTTTCATTTTGCTTGGGTCCCTCTGTGGTCTCGAGGCTCTGGTGCACATGCTTTTGGCTTGCTGTATTCTTGTGTTGTTGGAACACGTGGTGGAGGCTGGGTGGGCAGGAGGGAGGTGCCCTCCGCCCATATACTGGCTGGTTCTCTTTCTCTTACGGGGGTTCTTTGTTGTTTGCTGCTCCTTTGAGCCGTGTGTTGGCTGGCGAGAAGCCATCCATTCTCCTATTCTCTGCCCTTGGTGCTCTTGTTCTCGGCCGTTGATGTCGCCGTTGTTGCGGAGGATACGAGAAGCATGTTGGGTATCCTCCTCTTTTCTTACTTACGATTACCTGCCACTGTCTGTAGTGTTCTGGTACTTGATCTTGTGATGTTTGACTTGTTGGGGTGTGGTAGAAGAAGAAGGCAGACGCAAATACAAGGAAAAAAAAAAAACACAGGCTCGATTCAGTGCATCAGGGTACCTGCGGGAAGCAAAGCGGAAGGGCGATATGGAAGACGCGAGGCTGTAAGGGCAGTGCAGCAGACGGCAAGAGACACAAGAAGCACAGCAGAAGACTGAGAAAGCGAGAAAGAGTCGGACAAACACTCAAAGAAACAGAAGAAACACAAGGGCAGAGTGCCTGCAAGCACAGGGCTGTTCCAATACAAGCGACTGAATTCAGGGTCACGGCAGTTAACAACCACAAACCAACAACAGCAAAGCAAAGCAGCACGCCCTCACGCCATGCCCAACGTCTGCAAGGAGAGCGAGGGCGCGCATGTTGTGCTCGCCACGTCCTGGGATCCAGAGCACCCTCCCGAGGCCCTTGTTGATGGGTACGTGCGGTGTTGATGTTCGTGTACACATGTGCGTATTTGAGGAACACGTGCGATTGAGGCTGGGCGGGCGATCGTGGATTATGCGACAGTGAAGTGTTTGAGGGCGATGCATCGCACACACAAATGAACTCCCTGCTAATCTGATGAATCACACACACACACACACACACACACACACACACACACACACACACACACACACACACACACACACACACAAATACACGCACACGCACAAATACACGCACACGCACACACGTACACAAATACACGCAAACACACGCACACAAATACACGCAAACACACGCACACACACACACACACACACACACACACACACACATACGCACTTGACAGGGAGGAAGGCACATTCTGGAGCACGACGGGCATGTATCCGCAAGAGATTGTGATTACGTTCCCAGCCGCAACCCGCGTGACGACCCTGGAAACCAAGAGCGCATGTATCAAGAACATTGTCATTCAGAAGAGCTCAAACCAATCCCCAGCGGGATGGGATGATCTCACATCTACCGGTGCGTGTGTGTGTGCGTGTGCGTGTGTGTGTGCGTGTGTGTGTGTGTGTGTGCCTGTGCCTGTGCATGTGCCGCTTGCGTTTCATGCCTGCGTGAACCATTTAGGCACGCGCACTGCTGTGCTTGTACTTGTGAATGATACACGCGTCCTGACATGACTCTGGTCTGTTCTGTCGCCCCTATGTATCCGACTGTCAACGCAGAACTGACACACTCGGAAGGACATGTGCAGCTTGAGGACCACAAGGTAAGCTACAACCTCACCCACACTTACGCGCAGACAAATGGGCGCGGAGGCGGGACACACACGCACATGCACATACATACACACACATGCACACACACACACTCTCTCTCTCTTCTCACCGGCTCTTCTGACAACTGCTTTGTTTGTATAGATTGACCCGTGCATCATTCGACACATCCGCATCATCATCAAGAGCGGCTACGAGCCATTTGTTGCGCTCTACTCCATCGTCATGGAAGGAACGCCCATCGAGTCGTAACCGGCAGCGTCACCTTCCTCTCCCCATCCTCAGACAGCAAGGGCCCCGGAGAAGACACCATCAACCATGTGCTGACTCGCGATGCACGCGTGCAGCGGAGCAAGAGAGCGGGTGTGCAAGCTTCAGTGTGTATGTGTGGGATTGCGTGAGCGAGTAAGCGAATGTGTTGAGGTGGAAGGGAGCGAAGTTGCTTGTACACGTGTGTGTGTGTATGCGCGCATGCGAGTCGATGCGTATGTGCACACGTGTGGATGCGTTTGTGTCTACTCCGGTTAACTGCGTTCGCATGTTGTGAGAGGCTCACACACTTGCGCAACGTGTGTGTGTGTGTGTGGGTGTGTGTGTGTGTGTGCGTGTGTGTGTGTGTGCGTGCGGCTGGTAGGAAGGGCATGTCGTTTGAGAGAGGTTGAACCTGTACACACAGTGAAGAGTGCCATGCAAAGTATCTCCACAGTGATCTGGCTGCATTGAAGGAACAAGAGCCTATGGTTTTAATCACGCAGATATGCACGTGGTCCAAGCAATCACACAGTTACACACAGACAAGCAGGCAGACAAACAGACACAAACAAACTGACAGGCAGGACACAATCACACGCACGCACAAACACACATATCACATACACACATTTGTCACACACATATCACACACACACACAATCACGCGGGCAGCGAGGAGGTTACGCAGACTTCTGCTCCTCCGTGGCCTGGTCTGTCGTCGAAGTGCTGTCATCCTGTGCAGCAGCGGGAGAGTCGTGCGCCTCTGCCTCTGTTGTCGTCTGTGTAGATGCGGTGGTGTCGGTTGCCTCCGTAGCGTCTGTCTTGCTCTGCTGCTCGCCCTCATCGCCTGCGTAGTAGTCTGCGTGTTGGTTAAAGCACTCGTGCATGGCCTCAAACTGCTGAATGCAGTCGCTCCCTAAACAAACAATACCACAACCCAGCAACGTGAGCACAGCGTGGCAACGGTAAGACGGCACCAAGGATTGTACAGAAACGGCATGATTTAGGGGGCGGGGGGGGTTACAACGACAACGGGTGCAAAGGCAACGGGTGCAACGTCAACGGGTGCAAGCTTGTTTGCAACAAGCCGACCATGCGTCTCCCTTCCTCTGTAGACGCACACGTCGACATGCGTGCTCTGCAACACGTACCCACACGTATGCACGCACACACACACACACACACACACACACACACACACACACACCATATCACACCTTTCTCTTCGGCTTGGCTGTAGACGAAGCAAGAGAAGGCAGCCTTGAAGGTCTCGCCACACGGGCCATCAGCCATGCCTGTCATCACACGCACGGTGTCAGCACAGTTGGTCACCGATACAAGCGCGGGCTACGACAGAGACAAGGGAAGGAAAACATGGTCGTACTTGCACACAGACATGCAGAGAGACGGGGAGAGACGAATGAAACATATCCACACACACACACAACCAACACGCAAACACACACACACGCAAGCACACCACACACACATACACACACACACCAGTACAAGCACCGGTACCCCCCCTCTCACACACACGCACACACTCGAGCCACGGGCACACCTTGCAGGCATGGGCAGTCCCAGTCAATCTCGCCGGAAGGGCCAACTGCTTCCCCCAGGTCAGGGCGCAAGGGCGCCTTGTCCTTATCCTCAACGATGTTCATCTCCTCCTCCGATTCTGGCGTGGTGAAGATGACCACATCCTTCTCCTCTGAACCCGGCACATGGGGTGCAGCAACCCACAACAGACAAGAGTGTGAGCATGAGCCTGGACCACGCAAATGGTTGCCACCGTGGAAACGATGACCACAGTACACACAACGACACGCACACAACGACACGCCCACAACGACGCGCATACAACGACACGCATACAACGACACGCACATACACAGCACACACACACACACACACACACACACACACACACACACACACAGACACAGACGCACATGCACACCAGCACCACGTGACAGCGTCATCTCACCTTGCTGGGCGCTCATCGTGGTCGTGGGTGTTGCGGTTTCGATGTGTTTCAGCGAAAAATACACAAAAATACAGCAAATCCTCCACAACCCGCGAACGAAAAGGCGACCAGTGGCACACACCGACTGTCTCTCCGCACACCTTCCACTGACACACGAACGAGTAGCGTGTCTCCTGCCGTTGTTGCTGACGACCAACCTTTCCTTTCATACAAATCACATCAATCGCAGTGACAGACAGACACAATGGACGCGGGAAGTGCTGTCACAGGGTTCTTGAAGGCTGTGAATCGAGCCTGCGCCACAGAGGATGGCCCAGCGCTGGCCAGGCTGCTGTCACTGCGCGACGGGCACGTCCCGCACGTCTACCGCGGCGTGCCCGCGGTGAACGTGGAGGCGCTGGCATCCAGCCTCATCAAGGCAGAGCGACCCGTGGCTGCTGTGGCAGCAGCGCACCTGCGCGCCGCTTCAAAGCTCATGACTGGAAACATGGAAGACGCGTTCAACCACCAGTGCACGTGCTGCGACAAGCTCGCCGCATACATCAGCGAGGTTGAGGAAGGAAACTGGCAGCTGAAGGCCCTCAACATTGTCATGTTCGAGCTGCGGCAGCTCGCCAAGCTCGTGGACGAGATGCTTGCGGGGCAAGACCAGCAGGTTGAGGCCATCAGCAAGGCCACGCGCCTCTTCCAGGACTGCTTTCGCGCTGTGGGCAACGATCGCCGTGCGGACATTGCGCGGAGCAAGAAGGTTGGCATGATGTTCATCGCAAATCACATGTTCAACCTCGCCTTCAGAGACAACAACTTTGCCTACGTCAACACCATCATCCGCACCATGAACTCCAACAAACGCATCGAGCACTATCAACCCATGTGCCATCGAGTTACCTTCTACTATTACATGGGTCGCAAGGCGCTCCTGGACGCAGCATACGGGTGCGTGTGCTTGTTGCTTCTGTGTGTTTGTGTGTATGTGTGTGTGTGTGTACGTGTGTGTGTTTGTGTGTTTGTGTGTGTATGTGTGTGTACGTGTGTGTGTATGTGTGTTTGTGTGTGTATATGTGTGTGTACGTGTGTGTGTTTGTGTGTTTGTGTGTGTATGTGTGTGTGTACGTGTGTGTTTGTGTGTTTGATTGTGCGCGCGAGTTTGTGTGTGTGTGTGTGTTGTTGTTGTGTGTCATTGTTTGATTGTGCGAGGCGTTTGGTGGACTTGTCCATGTGCTTTCTTGTAGTGGAAGTATCGTCAAATGCTTGTTGCAGCAGCAACCATCGCGGGTTTCTTCCTCATCCATCACACCTGCACTTTGCTCGCTTGTCTCTTTTGGCAGCGAGGCTCGCACATACTTCGAAAAGGCGTTGCAGCATTGCCACAAGGACAGCACCCGAAACCTTCGTCTCATCCTCCTCAACTTGGTTGGTATTCACAGGGCCTCTGCTCCAACGCTGTTTGCCACCATAATTGCTCTCCTTGCTCTAACCAGCGCTGCATGAACGCTGCTACATGCCCATCGTCCATCCGCTTGCATTTCCTGCCCCATGTGAGCTGGTTCAACATGTACTGCTCTTCGCTCACCATTGCCGCACTTCGCTCACAATTGCTGTGCTTGTTTCGGCTCTCTGTTGCCGCCATTGCGTCACCTCTACACGCTCGCTGCAACCACAACCAGATACCCGTGAACATGCTTCTTGGGCGAATGCCGACGCTGGAGCTGCTGCAAGAGCACGACCTGTTGCAGTTCCACGCGCTCACGCAGGCCCTCAAAGTTGGCGATCTTCCGTCCCTCGACAAGGTTGGTGTGTGAAGGTGCAGCGTGATTTGCACATGTATGCGCGTGAGTGACTGCTGTGCTTGGTTCCGTGTGCGTGTGGTTGTCGTGCAGGGGTAGTGTGCGAGATACACACTCTGTTTTTGGTTTTGTCAGTTCATGCATCATCAGCCTGCATTTCTGCGATTACCCTCAAGAACCACACCCACGCACACGCACACACACGCACACAGGAGTTGGAAACGCACCAGGAGTTTTTCACAAAGTGGAACGTCTTCCTTGTCTTGCAGAAGCTGCAGCTGCTTGCGTACAGAAACCTCTTCAAGCGAGTGTACGTCGCTGACGTCGTTGCGGTGTTGCTGCTCCCGTATCTGTGCCTTTGTGTCGCGCGCATGCTTCCACCACAAAAGTCACATACAGTCCCAGACAGTCATGCACACCGTCACATGCAGTCATAAATGCATTCTCATGCACGCATGCACGCACTTGCACAAAGATCCAATGGCTCATTCCAGTTAACATCCCACTGTACAGACATGCGTTGCAGCAAGGAAAGACGCAGATTCACCTCCGTGTGTTTCACCAGGCCTTGCAGTGCATTGGGGTTAGTGCTCGCACATTTGTGGCTGGCTTCGTGTCCAAGTCTCTGAGTCTGCGTCACACACACACACACACACACACACACACACACACACACACACACACACACACACACGCACACACACACGCACACACACACGCACACACACGCACACACACACACACACACACACACACACACCACATGTGCACTGTTTCTCTCTGCCTCGCTGCCTTCATCCTTCTCATGTGCATCTGCTGTCCTCCCCCCTCCCAACCGCCACTGTTGCCAGATGGAAGACGTGGACATGGACGAGACAGAGTGCATCATGGCAAACCTGATCCACCACCTCTACGTCCGTGGGTATATTTCGTTCCAGAAGAAGATTGTTGTGTTCTCTGCTGAGCTTCCCTTCCCACCCGTTGGCTCGCGCGTGTGACGTTCTCCAAGATGTCAGGGAGTGATGATGATGGCCGTGGTGGCAGCGGCAGCGGTGGTGTTGCTGAAGGAAATGAGGAGAGAAGGGCGGGCCAAGAGAGACGAGAGTACAGCTCAAGTCGGTGTGTGTGTGTGTTTGTTTTCTTACTCGTCTTGCGATGTACGCACAAGCCTCAAGGTGGCCATGACGAGAATTGTCAATGTCCTGTGTGATAGATGTGTGTCAAAGTGTGGGGTGCCTTGTTTGCTTGCCACTCTCATCCCCCAAATAAACGCATCACCATAACGCTTTACTCAAGTCATGTCACTGGCGTGTACTGTCACACAAGGGAGGGAGGGAGGTAGTGCTTGCTGCTTGGATGGATTGAAACTCATGCTGGTTGTTGTTGCAGGCAGAGGGAAGAGAGAGAGAGAGAGAGAGAGAGAGAGAGAGAGAGTGTGTGTGTGTGTGTGTGTGTGTGTGTGTGTGTGTGTGTGGAGGGGGAGGGTGCGGGTGGAAATAAAAGCACCTAAGAGTAGCGAGTCACAATCATGCGGGAGACGATGACACAAACACGTGAACATCACAAGTATGTACTGGACCAAGCGAAGCCTAGCATGCAACCAAATCACCACGAAAGGCAAGCGAAATAAAACAAACCGGCATACGTCAACATGAAGGGGAGAAGAAAGTGGTGCAAGAGGGACAATCATGCAGTCATGGATTTAGGCACAGACACGCATCCAAGTGGAGGGCCTCAAAAACCTTGCATGTATGCATCAGACCGAATGGAAGCAAGGAGAAGAGTGGCCACAAAGGCCCCAAACCGAAAAGCAGAGAGGGAGGGATTGGCCAGAGTCTCAAATGCGTGGGCACCACAGCAACAATGGCATAAAGTGTCTACACCCAAAGCACAGCACAGCACACACACACACACACACACACACGCACAAGTACCGTAAACAGACATTGTTGGTTGTGATGGGTGGTGATGAGATGTAACAATCACCCATGAAAAGCTGAGTGTGACGATGAAACTGACAGCGACAAATAGCGTACTGGTAGTGACAGGCACAAAACGTGCTTTCTGAGCTGGGATGAAGGGATGGAGCATAGACAGACTGGGTAGAAAAGAGAAATGGATGAAGCTCACGCGCTCAGAGAGGCGGCTGTACCCAGGTACCCAGTCTCATGGCCTGCGCTCTCCATTCCTCGTGTATCATGGCGTTGCTGTTCCTCTTCCTTCACAGTTGAGGAGAGCCCTGAACCGCACACAGCCGGCACACATGGGTTGCGTGAGACATCATTGTTAGGTTGGCCCACACGTGTGGGTACACACACATGCACACACACATACACACGCACAACCGCAAGCACCCAACCGCTCGCAAAGAAGTGCTGCAGTTCTGCTTGCTTGCTGTCTCACCATGTACGGCTGCATAGAATAGGGTGAAGGGATGGACGGGACACCCTGGGAAACATCAAGACGTCAATACGTAATGAATGTCGTGAGACGTGATGTTACATGGCGTACACGAGCTCAGAGCCGTGTTGCCACGCGTGAGAACAGGACTGAGGCAGGCAGATTCACCACTCACGTACACGCTTGCACACAATGAGGAAGATGACGCAAGGTCCGCGTCGTACAGTGGCAGGTGTGCACAAGATTTCCCACACACACTCACCATGAAGTAGCCTGAGGGAATAGAGACGGGAATCGGCGCCATCTGCGTGTGCACGCCGTGATGGTGGTGGTGGTGATGGTGGTGGTGGGGTGGTGCTGGTGTAAAATGATGGGGCGCGAACTGGGTCATGGGCGAGCGCGGGTGCCAGTCACTCTGCAAGCAAGCATGCATCCAACCAACGGCGTGGTGCAATGAACGCGAAGGGATGTGAAGATGAGGGCGGGCAACCACAAAATAGACCACCATACGTTGATACTGTACACACATTTCACACCGCAAACGCACACACACATGTATGTCATCCCACACACACACGCACTCTCTCTCTCACACACACACACTCGCACATGCAAACATACAGAAGTACATACCTTGTGTTCCTCAGCTGCTGCTTGCGATGACGACAAGGCAGATGCAGAAGCGAGTGTCTGGATCAGTTGAGCAGGCGTGCCGTCATACCAAGGGTAAGCACCTTCACTTTTACAATTGCACTGACGATGGCGGCATTGCAGCCGTCATTCGTGAAGCAAAGCAGGTACAAGCAAGCAAAGCAAGCACAAGCAAGCAAACCCAACAGCATACAGTTGCAACTGTATCCATAAACCAACACCCACATATACACACCTCCTTGAGCATCTTCTCGCATGCGTCGACGACATCAACTTCGCGTGCGCGCAACTCAATCAGTCGCTGCACCTTCCGATTGCCCTGTGCATCAACGTACACGTGCTCCTCTTGCGTCACGTTGATTTCGCATCCTGTGTGCGCCTGTCGTTTGCGGTGTGACAATGCAATGCATAGTACAGGCATGTGTGTGAGTTCCCACTGCTTTGTAGCATGAAATATGGCAGTGTCACTGTCTGTAGACCCACCATTACACATGTTCACACACAAATCACAAGAACACGCGAGCGCACACACACACACATACACACACACTCTCTCTCGCAATCGAGGTGCAATCCCTCCCTCCCTCCTCCTCCTCCTCGTCTGCCACGCACCTGCAGGCTCTGTACACGAGATCCGTGTTTGCCGATGACGATGCCAACTTGACTCTCGTCAATGAAGATGTTCCTGCGGACGCCTGCTTTGGGCCCGTCAAGCTTGAGGTGTCGCACAGCAATGAGGTTGGAAATGAACCGTTCCAGCTCAGCCACACCCTCTGCCGGGCCCACCAGCGCAATCTCCTTCACCTTAACCATGGCTTGCGCATGGGTTTCCTTTGCAGTTGGTGACGCTGCTTCCTCAGCAAGCCCCGTCTGCGCCGTGCTCTCCTTCACGGCCGGTGACGAGGCTGTGGGCGAGGGCATGGTAGCTGTGGTTGGAGAGTGGGTGTTGCTGCCAGTCATTACTGCTGTCTGGTGGTCATCGTAGTCGCTCTCACCGCCGTCGCACACCCCGCGCTCTTCATCGTCGTCACGGCCATCGCCGCTGCTGGTTGTGCCCTTAGCGTTGGGCGTGGAGCCCGATGGCGCGAGGGTAAAGTTGTCGCGCAGGGACGAGGCCGGCACCTCCAGCTCCGTCTCCACATTGAGGTGCGTGTTTGTCTCCAACTGCAGTTGCCGGATGGTGCTGCCGTTCTTCCCGATGACACCACCAACATCCGCAAACGGAATCTAAAACGCAATTGTTGGTTGTTGGTTTGGTGTTGTTGAGACAGTACGCGTGAGCGCCCGACAGGCGATTCGTCACTGCAGCGCAACACACACACACACACACACAACTATCTTAATTATCTTCCACATCCAGCAGTTTTACGCGTGTGTGCATATGGGTACTCACATGCAGAACTTTTCGGATGTGGCCCTGTGGAATGGAGGCGCCATCGCTCTTGCTGATAATCTGGTCAATGCGCTCGCAGCACTGGTTCACCTGGGGATGGAAGTGGCGGGCGAAGTGGATGTGAGTCACCAGAGTGCATGCGTGTGTGTGTGTGTGTGTGTGTGTGTGTGTGTGTGTGTGTGTGTGTGTGTGTGTGTGTGTGTGTGTGCATAACAATGCATGGGTACATATGTTCTGTGTGCCGTCGGTATTGAGCAGCGGTATTGCCCCCGCAATAAGTCAAGCGTACCACAGGAATCAAGACGAAAACACACACACACACACACACACCTTGTCTGGCATGCCCATGACGGTGATGGGGCGGGTGGTGGCGTGGCCATCGGGTGGTGGCAGTTGCAATGCAACGCTGTATGTCTGCTCAAGTGTCCTGAGTGTGTTGCCCTCGGCACCAATGATGAGGCCCACTTTGTTCTCGGGAATCGGAACACGGCGGGCATAGCCTGCAATACGCGCGAGAGGGAGGCGGGAATTGGAGTGACGGGTAAGGTGAATGACACACAGGCTGACATAATTTGTACACTGACAGAGTGTGCGTGGGTTTGCATGTGCGTGTTTGTTGGCAGACACGACATCGGCATCACGGGGCATGTGACATCGCAGACAATCATTGTTGAGTGACATGGCTCTGTACCAAGGCGCAGCTCTTCCTCAAGACAGAGCTGGGCATCCTGCTTTGAGCTTGTATGCCGACGTATGAGCATCTTTGCATATTCCAGCTGAAAGAGGGTTATCGTAACGGTACGCAGCACGAAGTGGAATTCACTGATGAGCCATCACACTGGTGAACAAGCAGCCGGCAAAGCCCTGTCTACGAGCGACCAGTGAAAACTGTGCTCGTCAACACTCCAGACCCCACGCAAACACTCACACACACACACACACACACACACACACACACACACACACAACCCGATGTGCCGACTCTCCTCCCGCCGCACCTACGCACTTGCTCTTGCGATCCGCGGATCTGGACCATCTGCTGGTGGGGCTGCTGGTGGGGCTGTTGTGCACCGAAGCTGCAATCGTGCATTGTGCGAACGTCGTCGCCGCTCGAGTCGAGGTCGCTGCTTGAGAGGGCCAGTCGCACCGGTGAGTCGCTTGTGCGCACGTGCGGTGAGAGAGACAGGTCCGCCGTGGAGGATGTGATGCACGAGATTGGGGAGATTTGGTCGCGGCTCGTGTCGTTGCTGCTGCTGCTGCCACCATCTACGCTGGTAACGACGTTGCCAGTGAGGGTGATGCGTGCTCCGGATAGCAACTGCATCAGCCTGATTGTCGCCCCTTTCTTGCCAATCAGCAGCCCAATCTGTCCGCAATGCAGACAACAATGCGAAGCAAAGCAAAACAAGCACGTTGAGGACAGACAAAACACGATCAAAGCAACACCACCACAACTCAGTTTGCATCTAAGCTTGCGCCTGGGACCCCAAACACTCCGCCTCCACCACCAACACGACAGATGCGCAGAAGGCAAGCACACCACTACCTTTGATTCGTCGATGGCCATTGTCTCGTGTGTAAAGGGAGGAACCTTGCTGTGGCCCTGTGCAATCAGATAGTCAACTTTGTCCTTCAACAGTCGCAGGCATGTTTCAACCTGCGGCAATGGTGTATGGTGGTGAGTGGTGGCAACGGACGATGGCGTTGATAACAGTGGCAAGAAAGGGGAGTGCGCGGAGTCAAGCCATGGCCACACGTCACAACGACTTGTTCATAGTTTCGCATACATAGCGTCACATGTGGTGGTTGCACTGCACCTGTGAGGAATCGCCGACAATGACGGCCTCAATGTCATCACTCTCTGCCTTGTCTTGCATCTGGCAATACACAGAGCAGGCAGGTGTAAATGACTGAAATGAGGCTTCACGTGAGACCAATGCACCGAGCTCAAAGCAGTAGAATTCAAACACTCAGCTGCAAGTGATTGCGTAAACGCGTGACATCAAATCACTTCCACCGTTGGTGGGCAAACGTTGCTGTTCTGTTCCTCTCACCTTTGGAATGTGAATGGCAGCACCGGACTGCTGTTGCAGCTGCTTCACTGCGTATCCCTTGCGCCCAACAACAAGTGCCGTGAGGTAGCTGGGGAACGAGAATGTGCGCGTGACGCGCAGGGCACCAAACGACTGCTGCGACGGCGACGACCGCGCTCCTGTCCCTCCGTGCTGCCCCGCTGGTCGCGAGTCCGACTGCACATGTGCATGTAGTAGGTGTGTGTGGGTGTGTGAAGAGAGGAAAAGTGTGCATGCATGTGCATGTGCATGAGAGAGCGTGTGTGTGTGCATGTGCATGAGAGAGCGTGTGTGTGCCTTGTGTGGTGCGAGCGGCCAGTGCCAGTGAGAGGTCACGGCAATGGAGAACGGCAACGTATTCGGTGATTTACAGGTGGAAGGAGACAAAGCATACCTGCAGCATGAGAAGCTCGATGCCAAGCTTCACCTGTCCACTTAGTCCTTGCAGGTATACGTGGGCCGTGGCAGGGTCTGCAGAACGAGCACACATTCAAGCATGAGCTAGCTCTAAGGAGACGAGCCAAGCTGACACACACGCACACACACACAAAGCTGGTGGGTATCTGTGTACTAACTGGTTGGGTCTGGGCTGGAGGTGACCTCGGCGCCCGATTTGGTCTGGATGTCTTGGAAGAGATAAGGCAGCGACGACAGCAGCGCAGCACTCATCGGCACCGTGGCCGTCTGTCAAGTTTGACAGATGGCAAACGAGGTGTTGCATGAGCAAGTGTACGCATGACAGTGAGCGTGCGTCGTGTAGCCTTGTCCAAAAAGCAGAGCGTGTGTAACTTCAGTGCAGCGCATGTAGCGACGTGCAGCTGAGTGCTCCTGTAAAATGCATCGCCGCATTCTGAACCAGCCACCAGTGCATGGGGTGAATTTAGAGCGCCGGGCCGGCGTACCTGCACTGGGAGCTGCCGTGCAACGCTGACGTCGATGAGAACACCACCAGTAAGCCCCTGACGGCGGGAAATCGAGTTGAGCTGTCGTTCAACCAACACCTGTGAACATGCGTGCACGTAAGGTAGTTTGCGTGAGCCAAAAGTCAAAGCACAGTGTAGTTACTCGTTGCAATGCCATCACTACTTGGACCGTCAGCACAAGCCATACGCAACTGCACTGCACTACACTCGATACACGTGCGCACGCACGCACTCACGCACGCACGCACATATGCACACACACGCATATACACAAATGCCCCACAAAGACAAACACAAAGACAAACACGCACACACACCCACACCCAACACCACCGACCTGTGCCTTGAGGATGCTTGAGACGGTGCCTTGGAAGATGACCAGGCCGCAGTAGAGGCTCAGCTGCTGAATCATGATGGAGCATCCTGTTGTTGTACAGCGCATGAGGCATACATGTGATGCAAGCGGAAGGGAAGAGCAGACACAAGGTGAGACGGCAAGCAAGCAAGCACCGGCGAATTGACGGGGCAGCGAGGGCATCAGATGCGAACGCACACGAAACAAGGCAAGGCAAGGCAAGGAAAGGGAGAAGGGACACCATACCAGACTCGTTGTTGATGCGCTGAATCTTTTCTCCACCACGACCGATGATGATAGACACCATTTCGCGTGGGAGGGCCGCTTCAAGCGTTTGCGTTGGTCCAAACGAGTAGTTGCCGCGCAGATCCTAAGAGCAGCAGCAGGTTTGGGCACAGTGAAGGTGAGCACGGATGCCATTGCGATAAGGCTTGTAGCAGCCACGCACTGCTGTCGCCGACTACGAGGTGCCCCACCTACACGCAATCGCACTCAATGACAAGCAAGCAAACAAGCAAGCAAACAGACACAGACACCCACCCAAAAGCACGCCCACTCACAGCACACACACACACACACACACACACACATGCTGTTACTTACGCTTTCGATGCGGTGTGCAAGGTCGGCAGCTGCAGGTTCGATGCCGTATGCGTTGCCTCGAATCTGCAAAGTAGAAGATAAGAGCGGCGTGTGAGTGGGCTGTCATTCTGGTACGTGTGCTGATATGGTACAGAGGTGTGAGCATCATCACCTGCACTGTAGCCGTGGACTGGAGATTGCTGATGATGTGGAATGTGACGCCTGCACGCGGGAGCGAGCCACAAACAGGCATGAAAGTCCGGCATGAAGGTCAGCAAGTGGATATACGCATGAAGTGCTGGAGCATGGTACATCCAAGGATATGGCAGACAGTGGACGGGGGGGGGGTCGCGTACAGAGAGTAAGCAAGCAGGCACCACGTACGACGAGCACGCAGCAGTCTAACCATATCGAACGGAGAGGGGCTGCATGTGCTGCGAGATGTCGCATGCCATCCACCATGCCTGGGGAAACATGAGGTGCACGGCTTCGAGAAGCGACGCGCCCTCCTTTGCTGATGACGACCGCGGGTGCAAACCTGTGCAGTCGGGGTAACCGGTACAAGCGCGAGGCGTGGCAGGGGCCATAGCAAGGGCAGAGGAATGGACGGAGGAGGACGTGGTGGTGATGGTGGTGATGATTGTGGCGTCGTTAATTTCATCGTTGAAGTAGGGGTAGTAGTTGGTCGTGGCGTCAGCAGATAAAGTGGCATCGTGGGTGGTGTTGGGGGTCGCGGCATTACCGACGTCGGGGTCGTGGACAAGGCGGTCGTGGAGAACAAGCCCGTTGTTGAACATGGCGGGCAGGATGTCAGTGTTGGGGAAAGTGGGGTGAGTCACGGGAAGGGCGTCATTGGCGGTGGTGTTGGAGGTGAACACAGGGCGTGCATCAAGATGAGGGTCAGAAACAAAGGGAGAACAAGGGCGCGCTGAGGGAAGCGCTGAATCGCGGAGCGGCAGCTCCATAGTCGCCGTTATCTCCACAACGCAGTCACAAACACAGAGGAACGAGCGAAGCCGGAGAAGGGGGACAACAGCAAGTGGATACCGTTGGGCACACACTAGTCAACAGAAGCAAGCGTGGCAGTGCAAACAGCGAGGTGCTGAACACCAAACCCACCCCGGCCCCGGCTGGTCATCATCATGGTTGCTCTGCGAGTGTGCCTTGGAAGCAAGTGCTACAGGGTACGGTAGCTGTGGCGGGTGCGGAGGGTCAGGTGTGGGTTGGCACTGCAAACTAGCAGTCGGAGGGATTGAAGATGCGTGTGGTCAGTGGGCAAGCTGGGACCACAGGTGGGCTGTCAGGTGCGAAGGTGAAGTGGTGGGCTGTGAGATACGATCATGCACAAGGAACAAGAGAAGGGGAGAGATGGATATGGGAACAAGCTTCTGCAACGGTTTGCGGCAGCGCACTTCGGAACAGTCGCTGAGGGCGCCAGTGTGTCGTGTCCGCCATGACCCGCCACGATAACACAGGACCATTGTCACACGTAACCGTCCGTCCTCATGACACTGCCTTATCCCCCCACCTCGCAGCAGACATTGGGCATACGACGCACCTCTCCGGGTGGTCAGGTACAGGCGGTGTAAGGTTGTGCCACCTTGTTGATCATCGGGGTCGGCGAGGAATGCGTGGCACTGCAAAGCGAGGCCAGCCAGTGCGAGGTTTGGCAGGCAGCACAAAGCGAGAATAATTCCTGCATTCGTCACTGAGTTGTGCGTCGCTAACTGCACGCAAGAGGAGTGATGGCGATTGGTGAATGCAGCAGAGGACAGTTCGACTCGGTTCCCTGCGGTGTGGTTCAAGAATTGTCGGCACGGCGCAATTCATGTCCTTCCCTGACAGTCAGGAGCAGAGCCGATACTCTCTTCATCCCAGCCCCATCAAACTCATCCATCAAGCCAGCGTTCCGGGCAAATGACATCGTGGGATGCTCAGTGAGATTGGGGGGGGGGGAGCTGGGGAGGGTGAAGTGTGCGGACGAGTTGCTGTTGTATCACATCTTATCATCACATCATTGTCACATCACCACCAATGTTTATTGCTCGTTGGACAAAATAAATTCCGTACCTTTCGTATCTGTGGCACGTCCAACATCGGTCTCGAGGGAAGAACAACGAAGAACAAGACCCTAAGTCTCTAAGTCCCTAAGTCCATCTCCTCATCTCAGCTCAGGCTCATATCATGAGCACTGCTCACCGGACAACAAACCCGAAGCATCGTGGCTTGAAAATTGACGAACATTTTCACCACTTTTCCCTAAAAGTAACTGACCACCACCTTGCTTGCTTGCTTGGTGGGCAATGGCGACGGGGGATGTGCGGAACAACCTGCGAAGGTTGGAGCGGTCGCTGCGGAAGATACACTACGGCAGCGAATTGGATGTGAAAGGGTGAGATGCATATAAACCAACAAGGAACACGCATGCACACATGCTGCTGTCCAAACGCGGAAGCCCAACTCAGCACACACACACACACACGCACACACACTCACACACACTCACACTCACACTCAGTCTCTCTCTCTCTCTCTCACACACACACACACACAAACTCTCTCTCTGCAGTTGCATGTTGCTTGGGTCCTCACATGCACTGTTGATTGGCCTTGTTGGTTGCATATACTCACTGCTACCCGTACTTTCTGCCTTGTTGGTTGCAGTGCCAAGGACGGGGACCCGTCTGCTTTTCTTCCGCTGATCCACTACGCACTCCTTGTATACTCCCACCCTTTCTCGGTGGACTTGGCAGAGCGAGGATACGACCTGTACGCCAAGAGCGACCTCCGTTTTATGGAAGGCGTCTACAAGGTGTGACAACGACGAGGGTTTTGCTGCTTGGTCGCTCATTTGGGCCCTGCTTGCTGATCAGAAGATGTGAAAATGCAAGTGGCGGAGTCTTCCCGCTTGCAGCAGTTGGCTCGCGCGTGTGCCCCTCCTCTGCGAGTCTGCAAGTGCGGCCTTCGTTTCGCGTGCTCAAGACGAGACCTTGCATGGTTAACAAACCAACAGGTGCTTCGAGATGAGCTCAAGTACAGCCCGCGCATCAACAAGCAGCAGTTCTTTCAAAAGGGCTTTGCAGAGCTGAAGATGATCATGACCGTTGAAATTATTGAAGAGGTGCTCAAGCGCCACAGGGAACTCATGAGACAGAACAAACTCGTGAGTTATGTGGAGTTGTCTGCATGTGTGTGTGCGTGTGTGCGTGTGTGTTTGTCTGCATGTCTGCATGTCTGCATGTGTGTGCGTGTGCGTTTTGGACGTGCGCACACATGCGTGTTGGCATGGTGTGTACGAGACGGCTTGCATATGCGCGTGCGTTTTGCATGTGCACACATACGACGCGTGTGGGCAGGCGTGTGCATGTGCGTTCCAGGCATGGCCACATGTGTTAGTCAAAGTGCACTTGGTGTGGTTCTTTTCCTGTGCTCTTGTGTGTATCTTCGCTCATGCGCCCATGGACGACTCCCCCTCCTCGTGACTACAGGGGCTGCGGCGGCTCTCAGGAACCCACCGTGCATATGTGGAGCAGCTCATGTCCCAAGCCAACCCATCATCACCAGCATCAGCTGCACCGCACACGATACCCTCAAATTCAGCGACTGCCTCACCACCACTGAATGCACCCAAAGCAGTACCAGCGCCAACGTCTGCAGATACAAGCGCGCTTGCCAGCATATCACATCAAGGCGGCGAGAAGCGCTACGACTCGTCGGTGTACACAACGCCACCTGCACTGCGAGACAACGCTGTTGACAGGCAGCCGCACGTCTCGTTCCGCGACACAGTCTCGTACGTCAACGCAACACCTGTACAACGCAGCCGCAACAATGGTCGTGACACTCATGTCGGTGGTGCCAACGGCGTCAACGGTGCTTCTGATGACGCTGATGATGACGACGACGATGTTGGTGACGGTGGTGTTGGTAGTGGCAGGGGTGCCGGCGGCCTTCACGGTGCCTTCAGCCACGAGCTGGCCACTAGCACTGCAGGTGCACGTGGTTCCTCCGCCGTGCATGCGCAGAGACACAATCGAAGCGGCCCCAGTCACGACCAGCGGGCGTGGGGGCACGACGGGGCTACAGGGCGTCAGCCAGATCAGCACGCAGACACGCGGGCAACGCACGGTCTGCAGGGCGGAACGAGCCGTGACGGGCGTGATGGCGCGCTACCACGTGTGCAGGTGGCTGAGATGAGTGCGCTTGGTGCGCAGGCGCTGGCTGATTTAACGGCACGTATGTCGCAGCTGTCTTCACGCATGGACGGCATTGCTCGCCGCCACCAAGGTGCGCTGTGGAGGTGGGGTGTGAGAGTGTGGTGTGGGTCCGGGGTGTGCGTGTGCGTGTGCGTGTGCGTTTGTTTGTGGTTGTGCGTGTGCGTGTGCGTTTGTTTGTGGTTGTGCGTGTGCGTTTGTTTGTGGTTGTGCGTGTGCGTTTGTGTCACACTATGCGTGTGCGAGCGTACCATGTGTAAATTGCCCTGCGTGCTTGTTTATGTCGTGTGTGGGTGCAATTTCGTTCTTATGATTGATTGGTTGTGTTTCCAGGTGTGTATCCAGGAGCAATCCAAGAACAGCAGCACCAGCAGTCTCAGCAGCAGCAGCAACCCCGACCACCACCACAGACGCTATTGCCACAGCACCTTTCCCATGAGCAGCAGCACGAACAGAGGGCTGTGTTTCACTCTTCTCAGCAACCTGTGACGCAGGCGTGGGCACCCTCCACACCACACCCCGCAGTACCGGAACATTCCAATACGTCATTGCAGCAACCAATGTCTGAGGTGCGTTACACCAGTGGCCAATGAATTGCGTCGCATTAAGCTGAGCGTATGCTGTTGGCACCTCAAACACGCTCCCTAGACACAAATGCACATGAACTCAAAGACCACCCCCTCTATTGCACCGCACACACACGCACACGCACACGCACACACACGCACACGCACACGCACGCACACACACACACACACACACACACACACACACACACACACACACACACACACACACGCACACTCCATCCATCCATCCATCTCTCTGTGTGCCTCCAACAGGTGCTGGCTGCGGTGCTGCGGCGGGTGGATGCTGTTGAGCGGTCTGTGGATGACATGAGGCAGGACTTCGCGGCGAAACTCGTCCTCCTCGAGTCAAAGCTGCAGTACCTTGAGCAACAGCAGGTGGGCGCTCGCAGGAGGCAGAGACAGAGGCAGAGAGAGAGAGAGAATGTGTTCGTGGGTTTGCGTGTGTGTATGTGATTGAGTGTGCGTTTCGTGGTTGTTTGGCTGTGTGAGCGTCTGTCTGAGTGGTTGTGTATATGTGTGCGTGGGTGTTGATACTGTATAAGGCTCTACATTCCCACGTCACAGCACCTCTATCAGCATGCATGCCAGCCATCCAAATACTCAACATGTTCTGCTTCCCATTGTCCGACCGCGTGGCCGGCTGTTCTAGGCGTATTCCTTGCTTCGGCCATCCCAGGGTTCTCCATCGAAAGCCTCGCAGGCGCCAGCATTCAGTGCCAACATGATTCCCACCAATAGCACCACCACTGTTGCCGGCAGCAGAGGCACTGCAGTCGCAAGCATTGGAGGCAGTGTCGAACACGCCCTTCAAGGTCCTCAACGTGGCGTAGGTGATGGTTGGTTTACTGCGGCCTTTTCACCATCATCGCACACACGTACAACTGGGCCTGCAGAGCCATCAACAGCAACAGCAGCAACAGCGCCAACAGCAGCTTGGGGTCCCGTTGCTGCTGCCAATTCCCCACAGCTGCTGCCGTCCGCTGTGCTGCCGCCCACGGGTCCCGGTCGTGATGGGCTCATGAGCCGCCATGACATTCCTCAACGCCAGCGCACGATGGACACACGTACAGCTGCTTCGCCTCTTCAACAGACGTATCACCGCCAGCAGCAGCAGCAGCAGCAGCAGCAGCAGCAGCAGCAGCAGCAGCAGCGTGTTGCAGGTGATGGAGGTGACGCGCTTGAGCGAGAGGTTGAGCTGTCGAGGTCACTGCTGTCGTCTGTGCGAGGACCGGGGCAAACACGAGGCCACAGCAACGATATCCCGCTACAGCAGCAACAACAACAGCAACAACGACGACAAGAACAGCAGCAGCAACAACAAGAACAACAAGAACAACAACAGGAACAGCAGCAGCAGCAGCAACAAGAACAGCAAGATCAGTATTTACGATTCCCCCAAGGGAAAATCATCCAGACCAAGGAGGAGGTGTTGGCAACACAGCAGCAAACACCATGGGAGCAGCTGTTCAAGGTTTGTCATGAGTGGTGTCTGATGTAAGCTGTTGTGAGAGCGCTGTTCATATTGAATGTTGATGAATGTTCATGGCCACATGTGAAGTTTCATGTGAACCATTTCATGAGAGGCCAACTGCAATACTAATGACCTTGGCTGCACATCCTCATCCTCACAGAACGAGTCCTCGGTCCACGGCGCCACGATGACGACCGGCGTTGGTTCCTCAACGGCCCGCGCGAACGAACGGCCACACCAGCCACCACAGTCCCCACCTTCGCCCCCGTCGCAACGAGAAGCGACGTCTGTTGTTGCCACGCCGCCCCGCTCGCCATATCGGCTCTTCAATCCACCCGCTACGAGCAGCCCAAAGCGCAGGAATGCACGCACGCGCACGCGCAACTTGCTGGGATGACGGCATGGCAGTGTGGTCTATATGCGCGTGTGCGTGCGCGTGTACATGTGGGCTTATTAGGCAAGATGGGAGGTTGTGGGGGTGGGGACAGTGCGCTGGTGCAAGTGTATATGTTCTGCACATGTACGTCCTTACTTCGCACAGTGGCCACCGTCGTAGCTTCTTTGTACTGTATAGAACGATCATGGCCAGAGCAAGTCAAACTGGCGCGCACACAACGCGTGGTGTGGCAGTCATACCAGTCAACCAACCAACACACACACACACACACACACACACACACACACACACACACACACACACACACACACTCTCTCTCTCTCTCTCTCTCTCTCTCTCTGCTGTTGGGTACATCAACACGCGTTGGCCAACGAAACAGTGGGTTAACAAGATGGCAGGTGCATCACAAGTCAGATGTTGTTGGACCTGCAGGGGTAACGGCCCCATGGGCCTTTGTGGTCGACTAGCTCGCACGCAATCAAAGGTGAACGTGCATGTGGAATGAACAGGTGGTGATGTGATTGGCAGAGGGAGGTTTGGTTTGTTGGTCTGTAATAGACTGGTCTTGGTCAGCTTGTAGGCATCACAGTCACGGCAGTTGCCGTTCAAGGTCATTCATGAGTGCGCAGAAGTCGTCAAAGTCGACGGCGTCATCGTCCGCATATCCTTTCGAGTGCAGGAACTCCTCCAATGCAGCCTGCGTGTTCGTGTGTGTGAGGAGATAGGGGGGAGCATGGTGAACGTCCTGCTGAAAGGAGGACACAGCATACCAGCGCAGCCGAAGCTTCGGCGTTAAACACACATGTACGTGCACATACACGAGACACAAATGTATACACCCACAGACACCCAGACAGGCACGACACAGACACAGACACAGACACACATACACACACGGACCTGAGTGACTTGAAAAGGTAGGCGTTGATGGGACTTGGTAATTTCACTGCAGGTGACCTTGTCATCCTTGTTCAAATCCATGAGTTGAAACACCTTTCCAAGCTCCTGCAAACAGCGTGATCACAAATGTGCACGCAATCATGAGTTGTGTCCGTGAATGAACGCGTGTGAACGTACGCGGTGTGTGCGTGTGCGTGTGCATGCTCTTAACGTACGCGCATGCGCACAGCACAGCTCGGCTATCAGCGAGTCAAAGGCAAATAGACTTGTTGGATGCGTTGTTTGGTTCTTTTTTCAAAGCTGCGCACCATCGTGCACGTGAGCGCGCACCTTGCGATTTGGCTCAAACATTGCCAGAGGCGCCATGCCAATCAGACACCCGATTGTAATGCCGAGGATGCTGGAGATGAGCAACACAGAAGCACACACACATGTGAGCTACAGGTAGGAAGACCATGTGTACACTCGCACACGTACATGGACACAACACCACAAAACCAAGTACTTGTTGCGCAAGCAAAGGTGCAAAAAGATGTACGGGCAGACAGAAGTACAGACATGCAACAAACAAACTAACACAGACAGACAGGCAGACAGACAGACAGACAGACAGACAGACAAACAGACAGACAGACAAACAGACAGACAGACAGACAGACAGACAGACAGACAGACAGACAGACAAACAACACACACGCACACACACACACACACACGACAGGAAAGTAGACGTGTAGTTCTGTTGGTTCACACCTTGCTAATGCCATGACACGGCGACACTGTGGCAAGACGAGCTGCTCTGGTGAAAGACCTGACTCTGGGATTCCGATCTTGCTTGCCATGGCCTCGATGGTGTTGCTGAGCCCAAGGCCAACCACATCCGAGCACAGGTTACCGAGGCCTGCTGCTGCCATGGTGGATAGTCTGAACGACGTGCCAATCACGCTATCAATGCTCTCTCCAGCCATGATCATGATGAAGTTGTCTGCGAATCCAAATCCAATCATGGGAACAGCATGCCGCATCCCCAAGACCATCAACTGCACGTTGACAGCGACAAGGTTGAGTAAGGTGAGTGGGGTGGGTAAGGTGAGTAAGGTGAGTGGGGAGAGTCAGCAAGTTCGTGGGATGAGGTGAGGGACAAGTGCATTCAGGTTTCAAGTCAAGCTCACCTGTCGAGCGGTTGGTGCTTCTACACTTGCAGCAGCGTTCACAGATGAGTGCCAAGCAGCAAACTCTCTGTGCAGAAAACCCAACAACAAACCATTTTTAAAACACAAAGCGCCTTTGAGCTGGAACGAGCAAGTCATGGGCCTGTGTACACAAACACATACCAGGAGCTTATGGCGTACACACACACACAGACATGCACACGCACCCACGAACATGCAGACACACACACACACACAAATACACACACGAACATGCAGACACACACACACACACAAATACACACACGAACATGCAGACACACACACACACAAATACACACACACACACAGGCATGTTCACACACATACGCAGGTACGCAGACACAGGCATGCACACACGCACACACAAAGTTGTCAAGAGGTCGCACTTTTGGCAGATGACGCCGTCTTTGTTCAAATCCATGCTGGCGAACGCTCGTTCTGCCTGCATTCTCTCTTCCGCCCCCAACGAGCCCGATAGCGCCGCCACAACTTTGGTTTTTGCAGCTGTGGGCATGGCCTTGAAGAGCCGCTGCAGGTCCTCGGCGCGCATCGCGTCCAGCTTGCGCCCAAAGTCAACCGTCTGCTTGTAATTCTTCATGTCATGGGACAAGCGCGCATGCCAGTGCCCGCGCCGCACAGTTGCCCGTAGGCACAACTGAGCACCGCCCTGAATAAGCCTGCCAACACCCGTGTGCATCTGCTTCATCGCGATCCGCCATGTTGTCGCACCAACCGCTGTTGGTCCCGCCACTGTAGCTGCTGTAGCTGCTACAGCCACTCTCGGTGCTGCTGACAAGAAGGCACTCATCAGCATGTTCCGCGACGCCGACGCAAGTTCTGATGATTTGCAATGATTCCCGGTAATTATCAGCAACCACGCACGCACGTAAACCTGCACCATCAACAACAACCACCATGCTGCGTCTCGGTTTGTGTTGGACTCGCAGATGTTGTCATGGTGTTGCGGTGACAACACCCACGGCGTTGGCACCAGCATCGTCACAACACAGGGCGCTGAGCGGTGCCGCTTGCAGTGAAAGCAGAACAAGAAGAAGAATACGTGGATGCTCCACTGTTGTGTGTGACCGCAGTGGGAGTTTGATGAGTGCGTGGTCTCTGCCACGATCGCACGCTGCGCCACGGCTACACCAGCACCACCAACAGCAGCAGCCTGTGCACAGCAGCGCGCCGAGAGCCACCTACTCCACGCATGCTGTCCCCCCAACAAATGAAATGCACCCCTGTGAACAAGGCGAAGTGCAGCAGCAGCAGCAGCAACAACAACAACAACAGTCACAGGAGCATGGTCGGCCGCGAGTGCACAAACGTGGAGAGGGTGCACAGCTCAACTCCCGTCAACGGCGGCAGCACGGCAGCAGAAGTCAGAGTGATGAGGTTTCTTCTGTGCAAGAGACAATATACAAGTTACTACAACAGGGCCAGTTCTCTGAAGCCATTGGGCTGTGTCACACCAGCAAGCTGAGGAGGTTCTACACCAAGACGGCGTGGTATCAGCTCACTGGCATGCAGTTGGGCAAATCCATCGAGGCGGCCAAGGCATTTGTGGAGGCAACGCCGCCAAGGCTGGCGCACCCCATCATCTTGCCTTACCTGCAGTTGCTGCTGCACCAGCTGGATCCACCAATCACGGAGGGCCCGATGCCGTGGCTACAGATGCCCTTGTTTGACCGGTCCCCGTTTGTTCGCATTCCAGGGACGCCAGACTCCAGCGTGCGGCCCGACGTGCTGTCTCTCTTGCACCTGTGCGCGGAGCGGGGCGCTGTGACAAAGCCCGACGGCGGCGTGCTCCTCGACACGTGCAAGAGGTGGGACACGCGCACGGAGACGGCGATGACGTTGCTGAGAAACGGGATTGGGGTGCACCCACGCGTGTACAACGCCATGCTGACAGCATACAAGGACAGCGGCGACCACGCCAGGTGGCAAGCACTAAGCGCCTTGCTCGTCAAGCACAACTTGCTCAACACGCAGCTGACGACATCCCTTCTCTCTATCATGTCCAAGGACGTGGACACGTACGCTCCAGAGCACATGCTTGCCGTTTTCAAGGCAGAGCGGAAGCCGAACGTGCGCACGTACACGGCGCTGCTTGATGGGATGGCGCGGCGTGGGGAAGTGGACACCGCACTGGAGATCCTGCAGGTGATGCAGAAGAGCAGCATGAAGCCAAACGCCATCACCTTCTCCCTTGCGGCGCTGGCGTGTGCGCGCAGCAACCGCACACACGCGCTTGTGCAGGTCCTCAACATGATGCACGCGCATGGTATGAGCATCTCCACGGACGTATTCGCCTCCATCATCGCCAACGTCGCCGCGCACAGCACGCTGACAGAGACGGACCGGGTCTGGGATCTGTGCACGGGCGCGTTTGGTGTTGTTCCTGACGTCCGCTGCTACACAGGCATCATCCATGCCCACCTTCTTCGGAGCCAGCACCACCGCGCTGTGGACTACATTGCGGATATGCACGCACGTGGTGTGAAGCCCGACGGTCCACTGCGCCGCCTCATCAAGCGCAAGCTCCCCTCGGATTACGCCCACATGGTTCACAGCCGCGGCCAGGCCACATAATTGAAATGCGTATGTGTGTGTGTGTGTGTGTGTGTGGACGTTGTGTGGACGTGTGTGTGCTCTCATGACATGTCTTGTCGCTGCCAATCCATCAGCTCGAAGACAAACGACTTGGCAATTTGGGGAGCTTGAAGCGGTGTGTAGGCGAGCAAGCGACTCAACACCAGCGTGTTGTGTTGTTTCATCTTAGCATTTATTTCTTGTTCTTTGCCTTGTTGAGGACAATGGATACGATGTTACCCTTTGGCGGCACAATCACCTTCCTGATGCTGTTTGTGGGGTTGGATAATGCACGAGAGCAAGTGGTGGTGGTGGTGGTGGTGGTGGTGGTGGTGGTGGTGGTTGCGTTAGTGCGTAATGGAGCATGGGGTGATTGTGAGTGATACTTCTGATAGTTGCGCAGAGTGACACGAAAAACAGAGTTCAATGCTCTTGCCAAAGTCCCACAGACATGGATACAAACACACACACACACACACACACACACACACACACACACACACACACAGACACGACAGACAGACACACAAATGGCTGACCTATTTCTGTCTTGGATCCACTTGTGTGCAAATGGCTGCTGCAGCACGACGGACAAGAGCGCGTCGTGGTCCTCCACAAGCCGCTTGGCAACTGTGACGACGCCCCTCTTCCTGCCCTGCACCTGCACCGCAAGCTCCACTTCCTCCTCCGCGAACGCCGTCGCATCCACGGCAGGCCACCGCTGCCGCAGCACGCTCTCCTGTTGTCGTCGTGGCAGTGGTGGTGGTGGTGTAGTGGTGGTGGTGGTGTAGTGGTGGTGGTGGTGTAGTGGTGGTGGTGGTGTAGTGGAGTGTGGGGAGAGAAGAGGAATGGATACTGGTGTTGAGGGCACGGTTTCAAAAAGTGCATGCACCACGATACCAGCTTGAGGTACACACACACACACACACACACACACACACACACACACACACACACACACACACACACACACACACACACACACACACA